CCCAAACACAAATTCCCCCTGAAGGGAAGAATTAAGATCTTTTAATTGCGAAATGTTAAATGCTAAAAAAAAAATATTGTAAAGTCTCTGTTTGGATGGAGATTTGTGCAAATGCTAGAGTGACCAATGTTTTATCTAAATGCTGGGTTTCAAATATGTATCTGAAATAGAAAATTATTTGGCAGTAGAATATGACAATGAAAACACATATGGCATGTAAAAGAGTGGTCTGAAGGGTGTCATGGTACCACAGTCACCCAGTTATTTTGTTCTTTGTTGGAAAAAATACATTATTTGATAATATGATTTATCGTCTCCATCTTGCCATTTTAGTGATAACAGGATGATAAGTAATGGAGATGAACACCAGACTGAATAACAGTAGGGATCTATTTTATTGAATGCGGGGAGGATAAGGAGGGAGGGAACATGACTGCTGCCCGAGAGGCTGTCATAGTAACAAAGAAAGCTACAATGTTTGGAGCTACGCACCTGGATCGGGGAATTATGGGGAAAACTTACCAGACCACTGTGCGCACACTGAGGGAACCAACAGTGCTGTTTCCCACCCATCATTCCTGGTTGGAAGTGATAAGGTTGTACTGTTGTGTTTTGTTTCGTGTTTGTTGTTTTGTTTTCGTTTGTCACAGCTGCAGTTTTCCTTCGCCAGCAAATTTATAAAATTAACATTGCCTGGACGGACTTGGGGAGTCGCAGCTTGGTTTGGTCGACGACGGACTGCAGGCTGAAGAAGCTCTGGAATATTCAAGTTATATTAACTGTCTGCTGGGTGAAACCAGCAGCTGACACGTGTTATGGTAATACACAAGACAAGACAAATGAAGGTTGCGCCAAAGCTGGCTGTAGTCCAGCTAATATGAGCAAAGTCCAAAGTATAGTGAAATCAAAACAAACTCTTTAGTGGAGCCTGATGGGCATCAACGCCCTATGTAGAGGGATATTCTCTGTGTGGATAAGTTGGAGATAGGTTTCCAGGATCCATATGTAAAGAGAGAAGAAGATAATAGTGCAAATACGTCTAGTAAAAATGTTGGATAGCAGAAAGAAGGGATCTATGGTAGTCCTACTCACGTGCAGTAGAGCTAAACTAGCTCTAGTGTGGATGGCATACAGCAGTACAATCCTCGCTTGTGGGATACGAAGAGAAGTATTGGTCTTTTTATCCGTATGTGAAAGAAAAAACAGATGATAGGGCAGTACGTCTATAACAACAACAGAGTCTAATATAGTCCTACTCACATGCGGTAGAGCTTGAACCAGCTCTAGTGTGAATGGCGTACAGCGGTATAATCCCCGCTTGTAGGATACATGTAGAGTAGCAAGGCTTGTACTGATATATAGATCATAGATGAGAGAGGAGACAACTGATAGTGCTCACTGTATAAAATAGTATATAAGGAGTATATATAATAAAATGTGTACTCACATATGATTGAGCAGGCGAACTGCTCAATGACTTGGGCGTGAGTGATATAATCCCCACCTAGGATATCTTTGGAGTAATACTCAGCAGGAAGAATAAAATCAGGATACCAAGCAAAAAATAAAATAATAGATAAAAAAGTAAAATGGCACAATCAAGGTATGTTAAAAGTAGCCAAAATACCTTTATTAAGAATACAGAATAAAATATTAAAATATCCACAACGCGTTTTACCTATGACGGCTTTCTCAAGTGGAGACAAAAAACTTTTTGCAAACAATAGGAGAAAGGTAAGTTCTTAGTGACAGTGCCGCTTTAAGTAGTTAAGTGTGGAAATAATATGGTAATCTTTCTGGATTATTTTCTTTTAGGAATCATGGTGAAAGGCAGATGTGGGTCCTACATTCAAAAAGGGCTCAAAATCTCTGCCTGGACATTACAGATCTGTAACCATAACATCTGTGGCTGGGAAAATATTTGAAAGATTATTACATGATAATTTTCAAGAATTAATTGGGAACAACAATGTTATTATTAGAAATATACATGGTGTATGAAACAAAGTTTATGTCAAACTAACTTGAAGGAACACTATAGTGTCAGAAATACAAACATGTATTCCTGACACTATAGTGTATGGGCAAAACATTTGGTTCGGCTTGGCACTTCTGAAATTTGGCACTTCGGTTCGGTTCGGCACTTCCAAAATTCGGGACTTTGGCAATTCAGTTCGGCACTTCCAAAATTCGGGACTTTGGCAATTCGGTTCGGCACTTCCAAAATTCGGGAATTCGACACTTCAGGAATTCGGCAATTCCCTACCCCTACCCCATAACCCTACCCTTAATCCTACCCCTAACCCTACCTCTAACTTTACCCCTACCCCTAACCCTACCCCTAGGGTTAGGGGTAGGGCTTGGGTTAAGAGTAGGGTTAGGGTTAGATTCCTGTCATCATTCCCTTAATTTTCCCTCCCTCTCCTGTTTTGCCACTTTTCAGAAATCCAAATTACTTCGGCACTTCGGCAATTCGGCACTTCGGTTCGGTACTTTAAAAATTCGGCACTTCCGAAATTTGGCACTTCGGCAATTCGGGACTTCAGCATTTCGCCAATTCAGTTCAGTTCGGCACTTCTAAAATTTGCCACTTTGGAAATTCGGCACTTCGGACATTCTGAAGCATCCGAATGTCCGAATGTCCGAAATTCGTCCGAATTTTAATCCAGACCGAAACGAATTGCATATGTCTACTATAGTGCTGGAATCAATGTTTAGGTCTCTGACACCCCTCTCCATGAAGATTAAAGGTTTAAAATTTACCTTTTCTCCAATGCAAAGCTGCTCTTGCCGTGGCCCCACCTAGTCTTGCCTCAGAACATTAAGTTGTAGTGGTTCTAGTAACTGCAGTTTTTCTTTAACTGTCTTCTACAAAGAAGTAAGTAAAAGTATAGATCAGGGTGTTGCAAAGGATGTGATTTACTTGGATTTTGCCAAGGTGTTCGATATGGTTCCACACAAAGGGCAAGTGTATAGAAGGAATTGGTCTGTGTAAAAGCTTGGTTGTGTGTGCGACGTTCGTTTCATGTGCGTATCAGGTTCCCAATGCTCCTCTATCAGGAGCATTGGATTAAACCAATGGGTCCCAACCTTTTTTTACTTGTGTACCCTTTGGCAGCCCATTTCCATAAATTGTACCCCTCATATTGGCGAAATGTTTGTAATTAATATAGTTGCTGTCATTTTAAACTTATACGTTCTTCTCTTCTCCATTTTGCCTATATTTCTGCTCATGAAAGTCTGGCACCATAACCACTACAGAGTGCAGGAGTAGTTATGGTGATGGGTGTTCCTTTAACCACTAACCTCCTGGGTACTTTTATGACACACCGAGGTGTCAAAGGCAACACTAACAGCACCTATATAACAACATATATAGACATCTGCTTGGAGTGCTGCAGCACCCTCTAGTTTGCCACCCTGTACCAGGTCTAGCTTACGTATGCTTTACTGTTAAATAATGTAAATGAAAAATGTACCACTAAATAAAAAGAACATCAATTATTAAAAGTAGTTTTTCAATTTTTATTAGGAAAAATAATACATAAAACAGCATGGTTTTGAAGAATAAGAGACCTTTGTTGTTTGTCAAAGGAGGCACCCAAATACTGCTTACATCATCATCACTACGATAAGAATTAAAAGTGCATTTACAATTTAAAGGGAAACTATAGACTAGTGATACAAAATTGTATTACTAGCTTATAGCACTCCCCTCGATCACCTGCCCCTCCCCTGCAGTGCAGAAAGGTTAAAAACCCTTTTGTCACTTACCTCAATCCAGACTCCACCTTCGTTCATCCTCCCTGATGTCGGGTACCTAATGCGCATGCGCTACGAGTGCCGCAATTGCATTAAGACAACCCAACAGGAAAGCATTGACTCAATGCTTTCCTATGGAGTTTTAGCTGATGGTGGATGTCTTCATGCGTAGAGTGAGCCCAAAAGTCACCTAATGACCTGGAATCAACTCTAGAGGTGGAGTTATCCCTGCAAACTGATTATTGCAGTTTCTAAATAACTGCAACAATTACCATTGCAGGGTTAAACTGACAGACGCAGTGCACTCAGACTACTTCATTAAGCTGAAGTGGTCTGGGTGCCTATAGTGTCCCTTTAAAGGAACACTATAGTTACAGAAATACAAACGTATTCTTGCCACTATAGCTGTGAAAACATTGTTTAGGTTCCCGGCCTGCCGTCAGCTTACATACCTTTATTCCAGCGCCGTGCAGGTCTCCTTGAGGATGAGATCACCAAACGACAATATTAGCCAATCCAATGCTTTCCCATAGGAAAACATTTGGCAGTTTTTGCGCACGTGGTGCCAAGCAGCATCTCCTCATAGAGATACCTTGAATCAATGCATCTCTATGAGGAACATTCAGTGCCTCCATGCAGACACCGAACATCAGTGCTGCACATAGTGCAGCACTGACCCAGGAAGCACCTTTAGTGGTTGTCTGAGTGACTGCCACTAGAGGTGTTTCTAGGCAACAATTTAAACTTTTCTCTGAAAAGGCAGTGTATACATTAAAATGCCTGTAGGGACATACTATACACACCATAACAATCACATTAAGCTGTAGTTGTTCTGGTGACTATAGTGTCCCTTTAAGGCCAAAATAGCAGAACTAGAAACATTATCTGAGTCAGAGTTCTTACTTTGGTCGTTCATTTGAAGTTCTCTTTGAATCCCCAACAATGCTCAGTTTATTGAATAGCCCTGTTAATGTTTTCCATATTTCAATGAATTACATCTGTATTATTTTAATAATACGGAATAAGGAATGTTTTAACTCCCCCTTGGAGAGCCCCTTTAAATATATGAGTGTTTTTTTTTTTAATGATGGTGTTTGCCACAGAAAGGTAGGGACAGCTGTGTTTTGTTTTCCAAGAGCACAGTAGTTATATCCCAAATTTGAACTGTATTGCAGAGATATGAGGCTGGTGAAAGTTAGGACTTGTATTAGTGACTCACAAGCACATGAGCTGGGAGGCTTGACTGAGAATCTGAAATCAGGCATCATTCTCTAATATTGTCACATGATGTCTACAGCCAGTTCATAACCAGGAGGGATGGGAGGCCTTGATTTCTATCTGCTCCAGCTGTGAGCTGCACAGCTCTTATTTAAAGGAGGTGTGAGGAGTCCTACGCATTGAATTAGTTTGTCAGAATGAAGAAGGATCTGGTATTGGGAGGGCTGGTGCTGCTCAGCCTTTGGCTGATCTCAGGAATCCAGGCTGTAAAACGTGAGTATCTTGGAGTCATGTGAGGGGAGAGTTATCAAAGCAAAACATTCTGTTTAGGTGCAAAGTGCTAAATGTTGAGACAATACTGATTTAGTCTATTCTCTTTGCAGTTTAATAGCAACTGTTTTTTGTTTACTTTGATAAATAATCCCTGAATGGTGGTGTATAAAATATGCAATTTATGTTTTGGTCATCTTATTACAATTTGGAAAGGGGTTATATTTACTCTCCATTTGAAACCTCCTTAAGTGTCCCTATTTAGGCGTGAGTCATTATTTTATTTGCCCAAGTACCTCTTCCTTCTCCTAATGCAACTTTAAAAAAAAAAAAAAAAGTTCTGATGCCTTATTGTAAATGTCTGTAACTGCGTTCAACAGCAATGTCTATTTAAACTACAATAAGTGTTTGGAACTCAGTCTCTCTACACTAGACAAACTGTTAGTTTACTTGCCTATAATTTCTCAATACACTGTTGTTCACACCCTGACATAAGTGTCCCTCTCTGCCCGTTTCGAATGCTATGAACTCTTTACAATACTAAGTACTCTAAGTGGTGTTAGTGATTATTTAATGGTTATATTACGAACTACCCTATGTTTAGCATCATTACAGCACTAGCCATGATACAAGCTTCTTTGGGGGTTATTGGACAATCCTTGTTACTTACAGGTGGCGTTGCCAGGACTGCCATGATTCCTGGACATATCATTCCTAGGCTATTTGGCACCACCTAAAAAAATACTGGCCTTCTACATATAACCGTTATGTGCTAGTTAGTAAGTGGAAGTCACGCAATATAAACAGTTTGGAAAGGGTAATAAAAATAAATTTCCATTCTACAAGGCAGGCTGCAAGTGAAGTGGTCTATCCGTGTGTCGGTTTTTAACTCCCAGTAACTGCCTGGAAGTTGTGGTGGTAACAGCCCTTATGGAATGCTACTTCCACAACATCTAGCCAAAGCAGTGTTAGCACTATCAGGATTCCCAGCATTTCACACTTTTTTTTTTTTTTTTTTAAAGTTAAACTTCAATTGTAAGGCCAAAATAGTTGAACTGGAAAATACTAAATAAGCTGTGCTTACCATTCATCTTCTGATTAAAACTACACAATTCTTACTCTAGTGAATAACTGAAAGTATTTAGAAAATTTCATTTATAAAATATTTTACCAGGAAAGATGCATTGAGATTTCTCTCATTTTCAAGTATGTCCTGGGTCCACAAATAATTGCATTGTTACAATTAGGGTACAATAAAATACAAAAACAATATTAATACACAATAAATATATAATCAACCATGACAGGTGCATTCTGTTTTTGAGGTATGTAGAGAGGGATCTCTTAAAGGATTTTAGGCTTGGGGGAGATTTTAAATTGTGCGTGAGGCCACGATTGCGGTGCTCTGTAGGAGAAGGAGGATCGGGCTGCTTTCTTTTTGTATTGAGGTAGACTAAAGTGTTGGTATTGGATCGGAGCTTATAGTAGGTGGGAACAGCTGAAGAAAGCATCGTGTTCAGGTAGGATGGGAGTTTCCCAGAAAAGCTCTTAAACACAAGGCTGGAAAGATGAAGGGTGCATCTGGATTCCAGCGACAGCCAGTTTAGTTCTTTTAGCATGTCACAATAGTGAGTCCTGTAATTACATTGTAGCACAAATCGGCAGAACAAGTTATACAATGTATTAAGTTTATTAATGTGGGATTGCGATGCAGATGCATATACTACATCCCCATAATCCATGATTGGCATCAGCATTTGCAGTACAATCTATCCAAAACTAGGTGCCCTATACAGAAACAAATCCTGCCTAAGCCCTACAGTAAAGGAAGAAAGTTTAGATGCAAGCTTTTCTATGTGCAGGCCAAAATATAGATTGGGGTCTATCATCATGTATTTGAAAGAGTGGACTGCGGTCAGTGTGCCATTTGAATTTGTTTTGATGGATAGGTGGGAATTGTGTAATTTAGGTACTGTTACAAAGATCATTGTGACAGTTTTGTCAGTGTTTAGAAAGAGTTTGTTTTTTGTGATCCACTTTTCTACCTCTGTAAACTGGTCTTGGAGCACAGCCTCAAGCTGCGGTAGATTGGCATTGCTCGCATAGATTACCGTGTCATCTGCATACATGTGTACATTTGAGGATTTGCAGACATTAGGCAGATTAGTTACATAGCTGAAAAGAGACTTGCGTCCCTCAAGTTCTACCTTCCTCACATTTGTTTTTTGCTGTTGATCCAAAAGAAGGCAAAAAACCCAGTTTGAAGTACAATTTTGCAACAAGCTAGGAAAAAAATTCCTTCTTGACCCCAGAATGGCAGTCAGATTTATCCTTGGATCAAGCAGTTATTACCCTACATTGAAAGATTATATCCTTGAATATTCTGTTTTTGCAAGTATGCATCTAGTAGCTGTTTGAACATCTGTATGGACTCTGATAAAACCACTTCAGGCAGAGAATTCAACATCCTGATTGTTCTTACAGTAAAAAAAAACCTTTCCTTTGCCTTAGATGAAATCTTTCTTCCAGTTTAAACGCATTGCCTCGTGTCCTATGTAAAGTCCGGTTTGTGAATAGATTTCCACGCAATGGTTTGTATTGGCCCCGAATATATTTGTATAATGTTATCATATCCCCTCTCAGGCAACGTTTTTCTAAACTAAATAGGTTTAAATTTGTTAACCTTTCTTCATAGCTAAAATGTTCCATTCCTTTTATTAATTTTGTAGCCCGCCTCTGCGCTTTTTCTAGTGCCATTAATATCCTTTAGAACAGGTGTACAAAATTGCACAGCATATTCAATATGTGGTCTTACCAGTGATTTATAAAGAGGCAAAATGATATTCTCATCCTGAGAATGAATGCCCTTTTTCATGCATGACAATACCTTACTGGCCTTGGCCACTGCTGATTGACATTGCACATTGTTGCATAGTTTGTTGTCTATAACAATTTCCAAGTCCTTTTCGTGTGTTATCCAGATCATTTATAAATAATGTAAATAGTAGGGGGCTGAGAATGGAACCTTGGAACACCACACGTGACTGGGAGAGGGAGGGAGTCGCTGTCAGAAATGGACACATATTGCGAGCGATCCGATACATCTGATCGAAACCAGTTTAGCGAACGATCACCAATACCTGAGTTTGAGTTTGTGCAGTAGAATGTCATGGTCTACTGTGTCAAAAGCCTTTAGCAAAATCAAGGAAAATAGCTCCAGTTAGGGCTCCTTGTTCCATGCCAGTTTGGATGTCATTGCAAACTTTTAAGAGGGCAGTTGTAGAGGAGTGATTCTGGCGAAAGCCTGATCAGGGGTCAGTTAAATTGTTGGTAGTACTCACAAAGTTGCGTATGGACACATTTTTCTAAGATTTTTGACAATATGGGGAGCAATGATATTGGGCGATTAGTTAGAAACCAAAGTAGTGTCACCACTTTTATGGATAGGCTCTACTCTTGCAGTCTTCTAAAGTTTGGGTATGTATCCAGACACCAAGGATTCGTTAGAGTTGCAATGGGTTTAGCAACTGCCGGCGCACTGAGCTTCAACAACATTGCTGGGATTTGATCAGGTCCGGATTTTTTATTTTTTTTATTTTTAGATTAAGATGGTTTTTCAATGACACTAACAGGTACAAGTCTAAAAATGAACTTGTCTATATTGGGACTCTGCAAATTTAGTGGGACTTGATCCACATTTGTAGTTTCAGGATGCATGTCATTTATTAGCTTGGCAATCAGGGCAGTAGAGCATCTGACAAAATAATTGTTAAAGGCATTTGCTACATCTAAGGTAAGTTGCAGGGTTTGGTTACCCACTTTGACAGTGGAGGGTTGGGAGTGGATTGGAGGAGTCTGTAGTTTGACTTTCCTAAAGTTTCTAGGGTTTGTGTTCAGATATTCATAGAAATATTGGGCCTTGGCCAATTTTGTCTGTTTTGTGCATATATTTCGCCATTGTCTATATGCACGGTGATCATTCATAGAGCCAGTATGCTTAAACTTTGACTTCAAAGAATACTGAAACTGGTACATTTTGATGAGGTCAGCTGTGATCCGTTCATGTGCTCCTTTTACCCTCACCTTATGCAGTGGGGCATGCAAGTTCCAAATTTGTAGGAATTCAGACTGAAAGAATTCAACAGCACAGTCTAGATCTGGGATAATGTTTAATCTCTGCCATGGGAGGTTCTTGATTTACTTTAGAAAGGATTCAAGATATTTTTTTTTTTTTTTTTTTTAAGGACATAGTTATTTTAACCTTGGGAGTGGACTTAATGGCCTTTATTTTGCGCATGCAGTACACTAAACAGTGATCACTGAAGTGTTTGGGAGAACACTGGCCTCCTGGACTCTATCAGGAGAAGTAGAGAGAATCCAATCTAGCATGGTATGGTTATGGCTTTTAATGTTTATGCATGTTGGGGAGGAGATTAATTGCGTTAGCTGCAAAGTCTTAAACAGCGTGCAAGAACTATTATTTTTAGGCTTCAGCCAATCAATATTAAAATCTCCAAAGACCAACTTTATTTTTATTTTTTTTTTTTTTTTTTTTTTTTTTGAGCCCCCCCCCCCCACGTGTGCCTTTTTCTAATACTATGTAGTATTGGAACTTTCTACTTTGCAATATCCTTGCACTCATATTGCTGGCAAAACATCTGGAGTGCCAAAGGTTGCATATACCTGGTATAGATCATGCCTCTCAGGTTTTACTGTATAACTCACTGCCATTTAGAAGTTAAATAAATAACTTTCTGTTTATGCAGCCCTTGCCACACCTCCCCTGGTTATGATTGACAGAGCCTGCATGGGGAAAAAAAACTGGTTTCACTTTCAATCAGATGTAATGAAGTGTTCCTCCATAGTAAGACCACTTAATGTTAATAAATATATATTATTCTCCAAATTTACCACTTACTCCTCCCAGTTTACACTACATAGACAATAATATAGTAAAACGTGCAGATTGTTCCCGATTGGACTGCTATTACTTTGTGGAACATTTCGCCGAATGGTTAACAGACTATTGTCGTCCTGACAAAATTGGTCCCATAGGAATGAATGGCAAAATGTTCAAAACTAGAGTTGGAGCTGGCAAAAGCTGAAAAATCAGGACATGATTTGTAAACTGCCACCACTCCCTTATTTTCAAGCCCACCTACACAAATCTTATATCAAAACGTTCAGCTATCCCCGCTGCCACTAGAAATGCCCACGGCTAAGCCATAGTCCTGATAGATTTCACAATATGACCATTTGTTTGCAACTCACGCCGTCCATTGACGTTCATTGAAACTCCACTCTAGCTAGCCGAAACTTGAAGGGCAATTTCTAAACTGCGACTGCATTCATTGTTAATATTTCAGAGACATACTATACATCGAAATGTAGGTCTGGGTCTTGTGATTCTCACAATATAAAGCTCTTCATTCTAGGATGTCGTGTGTGGTTGTCGTGTGTGGTTGTCGTGTGTGGTTGTCGTGTGTAATTAAATGTGCTATATAAATAACCGTTACTCTGCCCATGCCCACTCCAGTTGTAGACTACTGGTGGAGGCAAAAACACTTCACACAATTTCCCCAGAAATTGTAGCTTTTCTAGTTTACCTTAAACAATTGTATCTCCTGCTCTGTAAATTGAACTTTAATCACATACAGTCTCTTGCATGGTCTAGCAAGCTATTAACATAACAGGGGATAAGAAAATGTAAATAGAACTTGCAATAAAGGAAAGAAACTTTAGAGGAAGTGTTTAGGAAGGTTGTGCAAGTCACATGCAGGGAGATGTGACTTGACTCCTAAATGGTAGAGAATTGAGCAGTGAGGCTGCAGGGGCATGTTCTATACACCAAAACTGCTTTAATAAGCTAATGTTGTTTTGGTGACTAGTGTCCCTTTACTCCTTAAAGGGACACTACATTTACTTAAATGCTTTCAGTCCATTCTTCTGTGTAATGGATAAACTATTACCAGTGCCCCTTTAAGATATGGCAGCATGTATTGCTACTATTCTTATCCCATGGGTAAAGCAAACTATTGAAAGATGCATATATGAAAGACCATACAAACCTTTCTTAACTGGTCTGTAGAAAGTTGTATATCTTAAGGGGAATAATACCTACAGCCAAATGTACATCTAACTTATCTTTGTTTAGATAAGTGATAGTCTACAACGTCAAAGGTTTCCTGTCTCCCTTAATGCTAGCAAAGTATTAAAGGTGATTTCAATAAATTGTTTCAAATGTGCATCTTCAGAAGCCCAGAGAGGAAAGGAATTTAAAATAAAAATATATTAATACATGGCCTCTCTGGGCTGCCAAAGGCTGTTACACCTGGTCTAGATTGCAACATAAAACAGATTCTCTTTAGACCAGTATTTTGGCCTTTATAAACCTGGCTCTACAAGTTTGCTCATTGAGTGGTAACCATGTTTATAGGATTTCAGGATGTCAGGTTTCATGGAAAGCAGTCAAATGACCAAGGACATCATAGCCAGATTCGTGGATGGTCTCCTGACAGGAACACCTGGGATGAGCAGCTTTATCCTGCCTGGAAAGCTGGCGATGCCAGATGGGAAAACTGTTGGAGAGGTAAACCAGCCTTCTACTGACCTTAACCCTTCTAGACTAACTAGCTATCTACTATGATGATCAAACACACTATTACACAAACCGCAAACAGATCAACTCCTCAGGAGTTGGTGAATATAGTAACAGTACCTTGTGAAAAGGAAGTTATTTTAGAAATACACCTGATGTAATCCATGGCATGCACTCTACACTTCCAGATATTCTCTGGTCAAAACCATAGACTCTCTATACTACTTTGTAGGGTTACTTCTTAATTGGAGCATGTCTAAGCTTTTTATAATCCAGATTAAGTAACAGTGCACATCCAAAAAAAAATACATTTTATAACTAACTTTTAATCTGTATTGTGTATACATTTTTGGTCACTACAGCACCACCACTCCTGCAAAACATATTCAGGGTGTGCTCCAACTTCATTTTGTCTTTTTACTTTATAATTTGTATTTTTCTTCTGTAGGTGGCAAGGTGGAGGCTCTCTTGACCAGTGACAGCCCAGCGCTGATAGGGTCAAACATTACCTTTGCTGTGACTCTGCGGTTTCCCAGATGCCAAAAAGAGAATGATGATGGTGACATAATATATGATAGAAAATGTAGAAATGGTACGTAGGGCTCAGCATAGGAGTGTTTTAATAAGGTGGCTTGTATCACTATTTGTATCTTTAACATCCTTTATATGTTAGACTCTTTCAGCTACCAAGATCAGTATGTCTACAACTGGACCAAATGGGTAGATGACTGCAATGAAGGAAACTGCACCTTTCTCAATAAGTTTCCTGATGGCCGCCCTTTCCCCCATCACCCTGACTGGAGGAGGAGGAACTTTGTGTATATCTTCCAGACCCTGGGTGAGACTCAATGCAGACATTCTAATACTTATTGCATTATCTACTGGTAGCAGCAAAATGAACTCCTGATTGTAACCAGCTTGTATGGTGCTGGTAATTTAGTATGGGGTTAAGGAGGACATTTAGGCACAGGTGGCAGCTACTATAATGGTAACACTCAGTATTGTAATTCCCTGGCAGACTGGGATTCAAGGTGCTGCTCAGCCTGGGTTTAGAGCCCCCAGACTACAGATGTGATCTAAGCATTGCTAGTTCAATACAGAAACTAACTGGTGAATTCTGAGTAGTACAGGATTCTAAATCTAGACTTATCCATTAAAGTAAGGGGCAGATCATAGCTGTTGCCATCAACATAAAAAAAGTGATTATATGGCTAATAGATAAAGTTCTACTGTTGCCAATTCATGTTATGGTTAATCCTAAACTGCATGTCTCGAGTGAATGTTTATTTTTAATGTTTAGAATGTTCATGGAAAGCACTTAACTTTAGAAAATGTGTTCTAGGTAAAGTTCCCCAATCTATATAATTGAGTAATGTCTAGGGTGATAACAAAAGCCTGATTCTTGGTAGCCCTTCACTGCTGTACAACAAACACCTACCCACTACTTATATTTTCAGGTCAGTACTATGCACTGTCTGGGAGATCGTCTGCAGTCCTATCCATCAATACAACAAACATCACCGCTGGCACACAGATGATGGAAGTGTCTGTGTATAGAAGGGATCACAGACGGCATTATCCAGTTGCTAAAGCAAGTGCAATGTACATTGTGACAGGTAACTACTAAGCTGATCTTGGTGATCCTAGGTTACGTGTTCTGGTATTGTCTCTGGTCTAGAAATGTATTCCAATAACTAGTAGTGACTGACTGTGCTAGTTTAGAACTTGCAGCAGTAACCTGTTTGTCTTTACCACTAATCCAAAGGCCCACTGCCCCGAATTGTCACTGCATCCTCCTAAATGTCTTGTCTTAGGAGTTCTACCTGTTGTGAATTAAAAAATAATCCATATTCTGTCAATCCTATCTTAATTGTATGCATACTTTTTTTTTTTTTTTTAATGTAAATATCCTTTCCTTTTTTAGAACAAATCCCTCTTTATGTGAACATTTCCCAGAAGAATGATCGCAATTCCTCAGACAAGATCTTTATTAAGGATTCTCCTATAACATTTGATGTCAAGCTTCATGATCCAAGTCACTACCTTGCCAAAGCAGCTGTGTCCTTCAACTGGACATTCGGGGATGGAAGTGGGTCCTTTGTTTCCAATAATCCCCTTTCTAGTCACACTTATACTCTGTTGGGAAACTTCAGCCTTAATCTGACTGTGAAAGCTGCCATTCCTGGACCCTGCAAACCAGTTACACCCACTACTTTCATCCCTACAACCTATACTTCTTCTACTACCACAGCTCCAGTGACCAGCAATAGCACAGGTACAGAACAGAAATATTTGTCTGTTTTGTATTAATGGCAATCAAGCTTATGTTACAAGGGCTGAAATCCATATTACTTGAAATGTATTAGAATGTCAACTGACTCTTCTTTGATGTTTACATATTTACAAAGATAAGCAAAAGGAATCAAGAGTACCTAACAGAACAGAGGAGAGCTATCTCTACGTGAAAAATGTGCAAATAATGCACAGTATAATCACAGAGGAAATGAAATAGAATTGAGAAAAACAAATGACTTTATTGACATGACATAATAAAAAATGCATAGATATAAAGAATGGAACAGAAATAAAGTAAAAACAACCAAATTGATACCCAATATTTGAAGTGAATAATTGATTTATAAGATATCTTATTGGTACAACACACTGCACACGTCTGTGCAGGGTGAAGAAGAAAGGGGCGCAAAACGAGGGGGGAAAAAAGAAACTAAGGATAGTAACTCTAAAATAAGAGAACTAATGGGGGTCTAGTAACCAATATTTATAAATGGTAGGTAAATGGAAATGTATGATATCTAAATAGACAGCGAATAAAGTCACTGTCAGAATGAGCAACACCTAGTACAGGGTAACTAGAGGTATAGAATATCAAATAACCAGATACCAGTGTACCATGCTACCTAGAGATATACAAAGATATAGATTTAGGAGCTGCTGAAAGTATAAGCTAGTATACAGCTGTTGGTAAGATGTAAAGCGCAAAACTGCCCTGATAACGTGTTGCAGATAACTATCTATAAAGGTACGTACTGACTAGTATGTCTGCAATTACTGAATGGCTAGCTGGTAAATAGGATATAAATAGAAATGAGCTACCGGACTAGTAAAGTTGCTGCTAAGCTGTCAATAAAAATAAATGTAACTCTGACTGAAAACAACATGTATAAGATAAATGAAACATTGTAACATTTAAATGACTAAATGTCTCTAATCCTATTATAATCAGGAGACATAAAAGATGATCGCTCCAAAAATTGAATAAAGTAAAACAGTTAATACTGCAGGGCTGCAACGAGGTATATATTGGAGAATGAAAAGCAGACCAAAAAAATAGTCCTGAAGCTAATACACCCCCTAGTGTGCCTTCGAGGGCACCAAGAACTAACGCCCACTAAAACTTATCTAGTAGACATCAAAACGAGAAGATGCAAAATGATCTAGAAGGGTAATAGATAAATGGCAAAAAGTTTACGCCAGGAGTCCCCTGACGCGCACGTTTCGCCTCAGGGGACTCTTGGCGTAATCTTTTTGCCATTTATCTGTGTTCTGTTAGGTACTCTCGATTCCTTTTGCTTAGTATTTACACTAGGGGCTACCCCCTTTTTTGAGTGTACCTTGGCTGTATTCTGATAGGTTTAATATTTATAAAGATATTCCCTTGTGCTGGACTACTTCTGTAGACCCCCACTTTTGATGGTTTGTCATGCAATATACTAAACTTGTGACACAAAGTAAAATTCTTCACTCCTCAACAGGCAACTCTACAGACCTTCCCTTCACTGAAACTGCATTTGTGACAACTGAAGGTTCCAACGTTACTACTGCTCCTACTACTGAAACTACTACACACATACAAACCACTCCAGCTGCTGGCTGTTTTATTGATCGTTATGGCTACTACAAAGCAAACATTAGAATTGTGGGTAAGTAAATGGTTAAACAGGTGGCTCCTAACCCAGTCCTCAAGGTACCCATACCAGTCCAGTATTTTAGACAACTCCTGACACACCTGGGTAATCACAAAATCCTGGACTAGTAGGGGTACCCTGACAACTGGTTTGGAAACCACTGGGTTAAATTATTTCGTAGCTCTTTATTGTATCATACTTAAATTAAACCTTATTTTGCAGATGGAATCTTGGAGGTGAATATTGTAGAGATGACAAATGTGTCTCCATCTGAAGCTCAAAATGCTTTTATAGACTTTGTCGTGGCTTGCCAAGGAAGGTAATGTTGTAATCCTCAATTAATATATGGGTTGATCTTCAACTCTGAAGCTGTAACCCTTGGTTTTGAGGTATGGGTTGTGCTTCCTAATTGGGATAAGCATCTGCAAGATGGGTGATTAAGAAAAGGGCAAACCCACCTCAGGTCTTCCTTGTCTCAGCACAGGACAGATCAAGTGTATGTTGAAGGTGAGGCACCCAGGTTGCAGTCTTGGGGAGGGAGCCCAATAGCTTCCAAGGTGGTAGGCTGAGCGTCATGGCTCCATCTGTGGGAGATTTAACTCTGCGCCAAGTATGTTCCAGGCTGGTGAGTATGGGCGAGCCGTGGGACTCCATTATGTTGCAGGATGTGCGTCTGTGCACAGCAGTGGAATGCACGCCCAGGTGGTGGTGTGATCCACCAAAGTTCCAGGTGCACTATTGCACTTCTGGGAAACCGCCAAGTGCGGATTGCTGTGCTGTTCCCTCTGGCAGCAGGAAGCTTGTCAGAGTTTCCTGTGTCACCAACCCCCACGGCTCAGAGGTTTTCAATGTCAGATTAGCCGATCTTTGCTTTAAAAAACTGTTCTGATTAAAATTGCAAGTTATGGATGGAATTGTCTTGCAGAAAGTAGAATGCCTGTTCTTCAGACTGAAGAGAAGCGTCCTTTGATTACTTCTGTCTGGCGAATGTTTACCTATTAATGGTTCATCATACTGGAGTTGGTTCCCACCTGATGTACTGAGAAGGCTCATTAGGAATGAATCTGTCATTGGGCAAGATCAATCTGCTACACTTTAATGAGGGTTATCTGTTCCTCAAACCCCATGTCTTTCTCATATGCAGAAATGGGAACACTCTGTGTAACGAGACTTTCTTGCCCAGCATTTAATGTTTACCATCAAATAGGTCAATGTTACACCCCAGTTACACTGGGAATCCATAAAAATCTGCAAAAGTAGCAGCTTTAAGAACACCTGTCCTCAAGAAGGCTGAGACCTCTTGCAGACAATCTTTCCAGACTGCTGGGTTTCAGTATGGGTCTTTGCTGGCAGGTGCAGCAGTGTCCAAAAAAATTATAACTTTGTTTACAATTGTTAATGGAGGTTATTGAAGTGTCCTCATGAGCAGCTCACCAGTTTCCTGTTTTATTGTGATTGTCACACTATATGGATTTGACAAAGACAGCAAGATCATGGGTTGATCTTCTGTTTCCCTTATATCCTGGTGGTTTAAACTTGGACGGCAGATCAGCGTCCTTTTCAGCCCCCTGTTACTCCCATTAGGTAAAGGGTATCTTTTTTTTTTTAATAACCAAAAAAAAAAAAAACTCTACCTCAAGACAATTTAGAACTAGATCCAACATGGGTGGGCGTTTCGGATGCCAAGAAGCTTGGAGGCGTTATCCTGCATTTCAATAAAAATGTGGATAGCGCAGTGGGTTTAGACCTTGTTCACAGGTTCATTCTCCTGCAGGGTTAACTCGGCATTTCATTCCTTTGAGGTAGATGACTGGAGTACCATTCAATGGAGTCTCTTAACATTCCCTGGTTGCATTTGGAAACCAGTGTGTATATATCTAAATGTCTCTTGCCTGGCTTTTAAGTAGAACCTACTTGCAATAACTGATTTCTTGATCTAGTTAACCCCATAAGGACACATGACATGTGTGACATGTCATGATTCCCTTTTATTCCAGAAGTTTGGTCCTTAAAGGGTTAAAGAGGGCACCACTTGGTCTTTTCAAATCCATAATATTCCAAACATCTGATTCTCTATTTACAGAAACCGTGTTCCTGTTGGATTCAAGGAGTTTAAGATTTGGTTCTGTGAACCACGAACATCATTGGGTTCCTCAGGAATCTCCTGGCTGTCAATCTCTGATCATTTGTTTAAACCAGTTATGAATTCAAATTCCCTCATATCCCTGTTGCGGCCCCTCAAGGCATTCCCTACTTGGGAGTTTGGCTAATTATTGATAATCGGGACGTTGCCTTTTAAGTATGTTCAGGTAGCTAGCAGAGCGCTACAACAACACTGAGACTATAATGTATTTTCTTCTTGTCCAGGAAACCTAGGGTTTTTTGTAGGGATCGACCGATATTGGTTTTTTTTTTTTTTTTTTAGCGCCGATACCGATATTCTGTGAACTTTCAGGCCGATAGCCGATATAATTTGCCAATATTCTGTACATTTACCATTTTGGAAAATAAAAACTATTTCTAAAGGTAAAGGCACAAAATATACATGCCACATGTAGTGGATGCAGTGTGTTTAGACAGGGGAGCTGTGTTTGTGTAGTGGATGCAGTGTGTATTTGTAGTGTGTATATAATGAAAGCAGAGTGTTTGTGTAGTGTGTGGGTAGTGTGCATAAAGTGAATGCTGTATATAGTAAATGCAAAGTGTGTGTATTTGTGTAGTGTGTGTATAGTGAATGTAGTGTGTTTATATAATGCAGAGTGTGTGTTTGTATACTGTGTATATAATGCAGTGTGTTTGTGTAGTGTGCATTATATACACACTGCATTATATACAGTGTTTGTGTAGTGTGTGTGTGTATATATAATGCAGTGTGCATTGTATACACACTATATACACAGTGTGTTTGTGTAGTGTATGTGTATATAATGGAGTGTGTGAGGGGGCATTTTTTTTTTAATTAAATTATTATTTTTATATTTTTTTTTTTTTTTTGTTGTCCCCCTCCCTGCTTGTTGCCTGGCCAGGGAGGGGGGATATAGCAATCCCTGGTGGTCCAGTGGCATTGGCTGAGCTTTGGGGGGGGCAGAGAGCAAGCGCTTACTCACCTCCCAGCAGCTCCTCCAGCTCCCCAGTGCAACTCTGGCGGCCAGCGTGTCACGCAGAGCGTTGCCACGGTGACCCATGGCAACACTCTGACGGCCGTGGGTATCGCGAGAGTTACACTGGGAAGCTGGAGGAGCTGCTGGGAGGTGAGTAAGCGCTTGCTCTCCGCCCCCCCCCCCAGGACCGCCGGGCTTGTAATGAGCCTGGCGGTCCTAGGAGGTATTATCGGCAATATCGGTATCTGAATTGGCCGATACCGATATTGCCGAAAATACCGAATATCGGCCGATTATATCGGTAAAACCGATAATCGGTCGATCCCTAGTTTTTTGGCTTTGAGGTTTGTGTTAACCTTAAACATTACCTCTGCATTCATAATCGAAAGGTCCAATTACTAATAGTGAAATTTTCTCCATAAGAACAGGAAATGAGATTGCTTGGATGTCTGACCTTCAATTCCTGCGGTCAACTGGGCAAAAAACTGGATTTGGCCACTCTGGGTCAGTGTGACTCTTGGATTTGTCTCCAAGACTCTTTTTCTGAGAAGCCTGTCCTTTCAGCATAAAGGAGTAATTTTCACCACAGGCTGGGTCACTCGTCTAAACTCTCTAGTGCCAATGTTCTTGGTCCTAAGAAAAATAGTTCACTAATTTCAGAGTTCTTAAGGCAGTTCTTCACTCCCTCACCATTCAGATCTTGGTTGATTTGAGGGACCTATTACAATGTGGTCAGACCACAACACTGTTTCCCTCTCATCAACAGACAGGGTGGTGCCAGAGGCAAGGTCTGTTTCAGCTCTGTAACAAATTGTGTACCTGGCTCAGGATCTCTGGGAGGTCCTCTCTCCATTCCACTCTTGATGTGTCGACAATGTAATCCCCCTACAACTTCAGCAAAAGAAATTGTGACCAAGAGTAATGGTCTATAGGTCAGATCATAATCGGTCTAGAGATTGGGAGTGCCCAGATAGACCTTATGGCAAAGAACACGAAGATTCTCAGGTTTGCCTCTGTACAGGACAGTTCACATTTAATAGCTGGCCTATCTAAGGTGGGTTTTTTGTTTTTTTTTCTTCTATAGACTGTTCCCAAGACTAGTTCAAAGAGGTGAACAGAGCAGTGGTTCTGACAATCTTTCTGTACTGAACAAACACAAGCCAGTTATCGGCCTTGGTGGAGATGACTTTCAAGTTTGGAGATCTTCCGATGTCAAACACTTCTGGAAGACAGGATTTCCTGCTGGAAGTGTTGAATAGGCTTATTGACAGTAGGGCAACTGCTTGGTGGATCCTTCATCTCATGACTCCATGAGTCAGAGTCCACTTGTTGCATATAATCTTCTAGTTCCGCATCTAACTTCCCATTAAGATTTGGGTAGCGTTTCTACACTTTTTAATTTTATTTTTTGGGGGGAATGTCATTGTCTTCTAGTTAATTTGTCCGGGTGGTTCAAACTTACACTTCCTGACGGAGATTTCCACAGGTTGGGAGTTTCCACATAAAGGACAAATTGTATTCCCGAAGTTCTTTCTGAGAAGGGATTGGTCTTTGTATTTACTGGTTAGAAGTTTCTTTAAAGCAATAGGTTTCTTAGGCCACCCAAGAAGTTGTTTCCTCCTGGGATCTTTCTTCAGTCTTTCAGGTCCCCTTTTACTTTGAAAGTGGTTCCTTTTCATATGCTAAAGCTTAGCCAGCATTCTTAGTGGCCATTCCTCTACCAAGAGTAAGCGAGCTTCAGGATATCTTTAGTGGAATTTTAGATTTCATCAGGGTGAGTTGTTTCAGCCCAACACTTAAATTCTTCGAGTTATCTTTTAAAGCTGCTTTTAGGGACGTTTTAAGGGGAATGAAGCCTCTCCTATATTATATATATATATATATATATATATATATATATATATATATATATATATATATATATATTTATGTATATATATATAGTATATATATATATATATATAGTATACTATATATATATATATATATATATATATATATATACAAATACATAGTATCCTTGCACTCTAACTAAATGGTTACATACCGGGTGCTTGAAATCCTGGGGAAAATCAAATATCCACTTTGCAACAGGTGACCAGCACTCACGGATTCACAAAAAGGGTTAAAACATCCAAAGTTTAATGAAAAATATTTTAAAAATTTGTTGACAGCTCAACGTTTCAGTCCTCCTCTGGGACTTTCATCAGGAACAATAAAAGTGTCTCACAATACCCATCTTTAAATAGGCACATCAATTAACATAATTACACATTCAATCCCAAACTGAATTAGCATAATTGAAAGCCAAATTCAAGGAATTAGCATATAGACAGATATATATAAATAACGAGATCCAACTCACCAGTGTATATTTGCAGTGACAGCCGGCGTTCTGAGAACGCTTTCGCGCATGTGCGCCCATAGCCCCTCCCCTGTCTGCATGACCGCACGACCCCCGCTGTCATGGTGACCGCGAAACAAACCCCGCGACACCATGGCAGCAGCGGCACCAACGATCGCCACATAAAAGTGCATAAAGCACTAAAGAAAAAGAAAAAGAAAGAGAAAAAGAAAAAGAAAAAGATGGGGAAAATAGGGACCTAAATATAAAATAAACATGGTGCATAACAAGAACGCCTGTAAACACACCAGGGCTCCACCCACTGTGTGTGGCCGTTCCCATGGTAACCGGACCAAAATGCCGGTACATAAAGTGAACAGGACAAAAAAAGGCATACAGGCTAAATAATAAAAATATGACAATGTAGCCTAATCATATGAATATATAATGTGCAAAATATGATATAAAAAGTGCATACAGTGCAAAGCAATGAATTGCTATATATATATATATATATATATATATATACTGAAAAAATATGACTACTCTATATATCATATTGAAAAAAGTGCAATGTGCATATAATCAGTGAAAATAACATATATATATATATATATATATATATATATATATATATATATATATATATATATATATATATATATATATATATATATATATATATATATACACATACACACATACACACACAAAGAATGATAGGAGTTGCACTCCAGCTCTCCTTATAAATTGCCTGGTGCTCGGCTGCACAAATGTATAGTTTTAGAAAAAAGTCAGCACTCAAGGACTTTCAATGTACTAAAAGAATTTAAAAAAAAACCTTTTAATCCAGTTGTTCAAAGAGGTCAACGTTTCAGTCCATCGTCGTGGACTTTCATCAGGACATAAATGACAAGACATAACATTCAGTTTAAATAAGAAAAAACTAACTTACCAAGCCGTTTCCACCTGTGTGCCGGCGTGGTCTGTTCCCCAGTGCGCATGAGTGTCACTCCGCTCATCTACTTCCGGTATCAAAGTGCAACCTACCCGTCACCCTAGCAACCTGTAAACAGATCGCTAGAAACAGCGCATGCGTGTGTGTATCACTCCGCTCGTCTACTATCAGTGTCAGAACGCAACCTACCCGTCACCCTGGCAACCTGTAAATAGATCGCTAGGAACAGCGATCCGTAGTAGCATATTAAAAGTGCCCAGTGCTGTGATGTCATCTTAGTGTTCATATTAAACTGGCAACAAATATAGCCAGTTTGACTATTCACATTCTCATAATTTCATTAATGCAGTGAAAATAAATTAAACTATTAGTGTAAGTGCATAATGTAATGCAGACTAGAAAATAGTGATAAAGAGAGGTAAAGGATAAAAATTAATTTACCTCATATACAAAAAGTGCAAGTGCTTAAGATAAAAGTGCTGACAATAACGATGTGTTAAAGTGACAGGTGCAAATATATACATTCTATCAGATAATTGAGGAAGTGAACACACATAATTGCTATGGGGTTACAGTATTATATGATATAAAAACACTACCTAAACATCAGATATAATAACATATGTTCTACTGTTTAACAGCATTATCCCAAGTGTCAAAATTTAGAGACAAACTATTCTTTATATATAATAATGTCCCTATTCAATTATGGGTAGATACTAGGGAGTGGAAACAGCCACCCTCCCTGAAAAATTCTTTTGTGAAACACAAATCACAAAAAAAAAATCCTTATTTTATGCCTATATCTTAATCCCTATTAGATATACTGGGAATATATGCTGCAAATATGTTTATAAATAGAAAAAGTTAATAAAATCAATACGGAAATTCATCAAACCACTTAGATAAACGATGTGAACGTCAATTTTTCATTAAGGCCCATAGGGGCCATAGTATTTAATTCACGAATCCAAAATGTCTCTCTCTGCAACAATGCCTTAGAGCGATTTCCTCCTCTCCTAGATATTGGAATGTGGTCAATGGCTATACATTTCAATGTTGTAAGTGGATGTTTGTGTTCAAAGAAGTGACGGGCCACCGGTTTATCTGTACTGCCATCTCTAATCGCCGTACGTATGCTTGAGCGATGTCCCCTTATTCTTTCGCACAATTGTGTGTCAGTTTTCCCAACGTAATGTAGTCCACATGGGCATGACAATTTATAAATGACATGATCTGTTTTACAGGAGATGCGTTGTTTAATTGTATATTTCTTCTGGGTGTGTGGATGAAAAAAAGACTTTGTGGGAATAAGGTGCCCACAAGTCACACATCCTAAGCAACGGAAACAACCTGGATTGAGAAACTTGTTCTGATTCCGCAGATAACTCTGTTCTGCATCAGTGCGGACTAACAAGTCTCGCAAGTTTTTCTCCCTCTTGTAACATATCATTGGACTTTGAGAGAATATTGTAGGTAAAGATGGATCTCCTGTTAAAATATTCCAGTTCCCCTTAACAGCTTGAACAAGTTTGGTGCTAGCAGAATTGAATTTCATAGGGAAAGTTAATCTTGTTGTCCTTATTTGTTGTTGTACATTGACAGTGGTCACCATTTCCATTCTAGCTTTTTCTAAAGCTGCATCAAGGATGTACCGATTGTATCCCCTCATAAGAAATTTATTGTACATACTATCTACTTGTTTTTCAACCCGTTCAGCCGATGAATTATTCCGAAATACTCTTAGAAATTGAGTGTATGGTAAGGATTTTTTGCTGTGTTCCGGATGTGCACTCTCAAAGTGCAATATGGTGTTTCTGTCAGTAGGTCATATTTTTTCAGTGTGTGTATATATATATATATAATCAATTCATTGCTTTGCACTGTATGCACTTTTTATATTAATCATATTTTGCACATTATATATAATCATATGATTAGGCTACATTGTCATATTTTTATTATTTAGCCTGTGCCTTTTTTTGTCCTGTTCACTTTATGTACCGGCATTTTGGTCCGGTTACCATGGGAACGGCCACACACAGTGGGTGGAGCCCTGGTGTGTTTACAGGCGTTCTTGTTATGCACCATGTTTATTTTATATTTAGGTCCCTATTTTCCCCATCTTTTTCTTTTTCTTTTTCTCTTTCTTTTTCTTTTTCTTTAGTGCTTTATGCACTTTTATGTGGCGATCGTTGGTGCCGCTGCTGCCATGGTGTCGCGGGGTTTGTTTCGCGGTCACCATGACAGCGGGGGTCGTGCGGTCATGCAGACAGGGGAGGGGCTATGGGCGCACATGCGCGAAAGCGTTCTCAGAACGCCGGCTGTCACTGCAAATATACACTGGTGAGTTGGATCTCGTTATTTATATATATCTGTCTATATGCTAATTCCTTGAATTTGGCTTTCAATTATGCTAATTCAGTTTGGGATTGAATGTGTAATTATGTTAATTGATGTGCCTATTTAAAGATGGGTATTGTGAGACACTTTTATTGTTCCTGATGAAAGTCCCAGAGGAGGACTGAAACGTTGAGCTGTCAACAAATTTTTAAAATATTTTTCATTAAACTTTGGATGTTTTAACCCTTTTTGTGAATCCGTGAGTGCTGGTCACCTGTTGCAAAGTGGATATTTGATTTTCCCCAGGATTTCAAGCACCCGGTATGTAACCATTTAGTTAGAGTGCAAGGATACTATGTATTTGTGTGTGTGTGTGTGTGTGTGTGTGTGTAATCTCCTAATGGCCTATGCTTCGGGCATAGGTACTTAAAGTTGTTTAGGCATGAAGACCACCTAATTGGTAATTTTGCTATATCCCATCCATAGTGCCACCATATGTCAGAATTTTTTACATACTGGGATTTTTTTTTTTTTTTTTTTGAGATGGTGGCAGTACAAATCTCCCTCCCTCTAAAATTACAATTTTGCTTAAGCGTGTAGTCCTGCTACAACTGAGGTGGGTTTGCTGGAGGAAGCACTTTAGGGTCAAGGAGGGACTTTTCTTTACCTATCTTGCAGATGCTTGTCCCAGTTAGAAGCGCAACCCATACATACTGCCACCGTATGGGGGGAAAAAAAATTTATAAGGAAAATTTGTTTTTACCCAATAGTATACCCACTGATGCCTGCACCATAATCTCGGACTCCACGTGCACAATTCCACAAAACGAAGTCTGTGATGAGGTAGTGACTACTGATGAATGTTTGGTGACTCTAAGAAGAGCCTTTACGGGACCAGGAACCTATTGTGTGAATATTACACTGGGTGATGATGCAAGCCTGGCTCTTGCAAGTACCCTTGTTTCTGTGAGTGAAGGTGAGTAAAGCCACTTGGTGCACATGAACTGTGAGTACATCAGATGCAGACCTGAAGACTGAGTCCCAGTGAAACTTCAGATATCTGCTAATTCATAAAGGTGAAGGCAATCCTCAATTTATGCATTGCAGCACATGGTGATCTCTGATCACTTGTGAATGGGAATCCTCACTGTAGTAGAGCAGCCTATCCTTGAGCTGTACCTGGCCAGCTTTGTCCCCACTGGAAGCCACCCATACTGCTAGATATACACAGAGCTGCAGAATAACCCTCCCCTCATACAAATACAAACCACCTACACACAAACTCAACACCACTGACAATCCACATGCAATGCCCCACACATACACTAACAAATACACAATGTGACATATCATCCACGTGGCCCCCCCTTACACTGACCACAATCATGGGTACACCATACCACAAACTAATGAACATATACAAAATAGCTCATACGCACAAATACAATGATACAAAGCAACTGTAATATAACAAAAGCCGAACACAGCAACCTGCACACCTCCAATTTAAAAAAAAAAAAAAAAAATACAATTTTTATTTTTATTTTTTCTTTGGTAACCATTAATGTACTTTATTTTAGGAATTGGCACACCTGCACCAGTAAAAGAGATCCTTATTTACCTGGGAATTTTGGCTGTTATTGCTGTAGCTCTTGGTGCTCTCTTGTACAAGTAGGTGTACTTTCAAGTTGTGCATTGGGAATCTGCATAACTGAACTCTAATATTTGTAGATTAACACTACAACTCTAAATGTTTATTGTTTATATTTTTCTCTCTAAGGAGTTGGGAGACTGGTTCTTCCATAGTGTAACACTCTCTGTTTATTACAGGAAATATAAAGGCTACAAACGCATTGATACAGCTTACCATAACCGTACCAATGAAGGGTTAAGTGTGACCTTCAACCAAATAAAATCGAGTCTTCTAAAAAGAAATGATGAGCACCACCCCCTTCTGAAGACCAAGGCTGGTGTCATATAATCTGTAATGGGCCTCATGTTCTGATTAGGATGATGTTTACCATCTGTATCAGAGCTCTTAAATAAAATTACTACTGTAGATTTTATTTTTAGGCTTGTACTATTGACTACTGATATTGTCAAACATTGTAGGTGTTGCTCTTTGACTTGACGGTGATGTGTTACTCTTTTCAGAAAACCTGTTATAAAGACTGTAGAGAATTCCGTTAAGTTGAATACTTGGGTACACATAAAATGCTAATTTGAACAAAGTTGTACTTTGACACTGCAACCTATTGTTACAATGGTTTGCAGCTACAAAGACATTGGTTAGCTAGATTTCCTCATCCAGGACTTTGTTCTGCTCTGCTAGCACCATGGGCACAGATTGAAACTAGAATCGTATGCATGATAGAAATTGACATTGACTACTGTAGGTTTTTGTCAAATTGTGTTAATGATGACATTGCTTGGGTAGGAAAACCTCAGACTTGTGGTATATGGAGAGTGGGTACTGTAATGAGAGAGAAAAGAGAAATTGTATACTCTGGATGTGATCTCGTCTTTCAAGCCATCTCCAGCAACTTAGTTTGTGCTGTTGTAAGAAGGCCAGGATGTCAACTGGTAGAATGTTAAGCTTTAATGGTTCTTCTGTAAACATCTGGTTCGTATATTGTTACTCTGTATATCTCACAGCTCCTATCTGCCAACTCAAGCCACTACACTACAATAGCATTAAAACCCAGACAGATCTGCCATCTCAGGCTTGTTCTCTAATGCTTTCACCGACTGGACAATGGTAAGCCTGTCTGAGACACTGCCTTCTAGTACCCTGTCCATCCGTTAATCTGATGCAGCCCCTCTTACTGATTAAGCTCAGAAATAGACTAAACCTCTGCTTGTAACTTCCTTATCTCACACTGCATTACTTGCTAGCAGTATCATCAGATAAAAATGGCTAAAAATAAGTTGGAACCCCTCCCTACTTCATGGTGGAGTCCCCTTGCACCACTCAAATGTCAAACCAGTCTTGCTTCGTTATGACCCAAAGTACTTGTTCCTCAATCGGGGACCCTGAAAGTACAACAGTATCCGCTGATTTACCGTATATGATGCCAAGCAACTCTGCATTTGTTTTTTTTTTTTTTGTCATGGTGCATGTCAAGTGTAATCTGGTATTGTGTCCATTTCTCAGTAACTAATTTATAAAAAAAAATTGCTTAATATTGTACAGTACACAAGAATCGAAAATAAACTTGCGCAAATTCTTGTCATCTTTATATGCTTGGTAAAGTTTGTATGCAGGAGACTAGTCTTATGCCACAGGGCAAAAGCTGAATGACAAGTACACCTTGTTTAGTACATTCAGGTGGGGGAGAGTGGGTTTTACTAACTTCTCTGTGGTGCTTATTTGGGGAGCGTCAACTATATTCTCTATAGTCCAGTAACTCTTAAGGTTGGAAGCAGAGCTGCAGAAACAATGATGTAAACACAGTGTGGTCAGATACCCTATAGTACAAGGGTGGACAGAATCACTTCCCATCTGATCACAAATAACATATGCAAAAGTAAGGTGTGAAACAGAGTGGGGGTAATGTTTTCTAAGCTTCCCCTTTGAATAGAGGTGGTTTTTTTTTCTTCTCTCTCAAGACCACCACTCGTGCTTGACCTGATACTACTTGCAGAGGCACATCAGCTTCCCTTACCACATCTCTTTTTAGCAAAGATGATCCCTAGTCCTACCTCTAGCAGCAAGGGATCAATGGCAAAACAGGAGTTGCCACTGCCTACGCTAACCTTCCTCCCAGTCTTCTTTTAGGAACTCTAAAAGAACTGTGAGCAGGTAGAAGTACTGCACCTCCCTCTCCTGCAGTCAGTGAAAGTTTCATCTGTGCAAGAAATTACCAAGGTAGACTGAAACAAGTGCTACTCCTCTGGAAGTATCAGCATTGTCTGTTCTTCTTTGCAGGACTTGCATTTAGTCTGACTTATGAAGAGCTCAACTATGAGCCAGAGGATGAGATGGGAGCAGTCAGAATTACTCAGGGAGCAGTCCACCTTTTCCATCAGCAACTGGTGAAAGTTTTCCACATTAGTAGCTCATGTTAGTACAACCTATAGTATACCACAATTTCTTCAAAATCTGGAATGATTACCAGTGTAACTCTGCCAACAATCACCATACCTAGTAGTACTACATATAGTGCAAATTTCAAGGGGTTGCACTCCCGTTCACCCATGCACAAGAGCATCCTAAAGGGTAGAAGTAAATGTATTACACTGCAGCAAAGCTTTTGGGGGGAGGGGGAGGAGAAAGTGTTCAGAGATTGGCACTTAATGAAGTGCGAATCTTGCAGGAAGGAAGTCAGCAAGAGGAGAGTATTGGTGCCAGGATGAACCATCATAAGGCGGTTTTATTGAGGGAAGGGGCAGGCAGCATAGCTGCTATTACCACCACCAGCTCTGTAGAAGTGACAGGGGAGGTGTCCAAGAGCCAAGAATTGCTGCTACTACCAGTCAACCATTGCTGTCTGGAGCATCACAACGTGTTCTGCCCACCCTGGGACAATTTGGAGGACTGCACTTCAGGACTATGTTCAAACAGCAGGCTCATAAAACTACACAACTTATAGGCCAATAGTCTTGACTGCAGCCAAAATTTATTGCCTAACGAAAATTAGTTTAGTCTATACCAAACTATCTGCTCATTCATTTTTGGACAAAATTTGGTCATTGTTCTAATTTCAAATTTTATATATTACAAGGAGTGAGCCATGAGCCAGTAGTTAACATCTTGTAATATAAAAAATCTCGTCCAGCAAGAAATTTGTTTTATTTAAGTCATTGTAGTTTGCATTCATTCAGTAGTCTTTCAAACAAATGGACAAACAGGTGAAATTCAGGCAAAACTATTTGTCCAAAAACAAATCCCGATGTTATTGTTGTTAGCGTTGCTTTCTTATCAATGATAGAGCCTTTCAAACAGTTAATGGAGGCCATGGCTCCACATTACCATCTTCGCTCATGGTCCACTTTCGGCAGGAAGCAACATGACCTCAGATCATCACTCTGAAGTTCAACGCATTTTACGAAGTTCCCTGGGGGCAAGATGTTACCTGATGTCTGACACAACAATGTATTCTCTTAACAATGTAGAAATATTAGTTTCACATTTGTTATAATGCACCTCCCACCTGAAATGCCTACCAGCGGGATTTTTATTATGCCATGTTTCTGGCATGTATTACAATATGGCAACTTGCTGGTACTGTTTTTTTAAGGCAACTTAACATGGGTATTGAAGGAAAAAGGGGAGTAAAAATTTTTTTTTTTTTTTTTGGAAAACCTATTGTGCTTTTCATGCTTGCCCACGGTGAGGTGTTATCAAACTTTACGTACCTTAGTATTCAACTTTAGGCATCCTCGCTGTTTTGTGTTATGCCATCTTTCTATGAAAACAGAAGCAGCATCTTTGTCATCTGCTCTCAGCTCAGCTGAGCTTACCTAATCCTTGCCCCTTATGGGGATAGTTGTCATCCTCTTCTGAGCAGCCTGGAAGGAAGTCTACCTGCTCATTGATGCACTATTTTGGCCATAGCCAGCCACCCTCCTATGTGACTTTATACCCGTAACCTGCTAACCGATGCACACTTGTTCGTTGCAACTGTGTGTTTGTTTTATTCCATGCCTCAAGCATGTGATGCCTTTTGCATTATCTTTTATATCAAATAATCTAGGATATGTTTATCTTCCGATGTTCTGGAGGATTCACACATGATCTTAAGCACATGCAAATGTTCTACTACATGTGTACGGCTATGCTGTTACATTGACACCTGAGTACAAGTTGGTTTGAGTACCTTGTGTCTTTTAATCAAGTTACAGGATTTTGTGTTGTATAGATACCCAGGTAAAAGTGTATTTTAGCGTATTTTATTTACCATTTTGTTAACGTGTAGGTTATGTAAGGTTTTGAGCAAAGCACAATGTTGATTTTTATTTTAAATAGTCAGTCAGGTGTTCCTTCTTAATAGTACATTCTATTAAGGATTTACATCAGGTAGCCATAACAAAAAAAATGAAGGATAGAATGGTAAAAATAATAAAATATGCTAAAGTACACTTTTACCAGATACCCTGTGTCGTTTACATGGGTATCATAGTGTTATGTGGATTTGCATTTCATAAGCAAAATAAATTTGTTGAGAAAATAATCTATATATATATATATATATATATATATATATAATATGAGAGAGATTTGTTTTCCTGCATGTCTTGAAGCAAATTGTGATCAAGGCTGGGCTTTGAGGCTGCCCATATTGAGTCTCTCCAGATTGGTTGCTGCAAATTTTGCATTACATAATGGGGATAACTTTAAAGGACCACTATAGTGCCAGGAAAACATACTCGTTTTCCTGGCACTATAGTGCCCTGAGGGTGCCCCCACCCTCAGGGTCCCCCTCCCGCCCGGCTCTGGAAGGGGGAAAGGTAAGCTTAAAACCCCTACCTTTCCAGCTTGGCGTGTAAGCCCCTCTCGCCTCCCTCCCTCCCATTCTTCCTGGCTGGAATGCGCGGCAAGTACAAAAAGGCCAAGATTCAGCCGGTGTCGCGTGATACATTTACACGCTTTTCTATGGACGCTATGCTCCTCACCGTGAAAATCACAGTGAGAAGCATTTAAAGCTCTAGTGCCGCCACGACAGCCACTCAGAGGAATCGGGAAGGGCTTAACCCATTCATAAACATAGCAGTTTCTCTGAAACTGCTATGTTTATGAAAAAATGGGTTAACCCTAGAAGGACCTGGCACCCAGACCACTTCATTAAGCTGAAGTAGTCTGGGTGCCTAGAGTGGTCCTTTAAGCTTGGAGTAACCTTTTTTTCCAGTAAAAACTAGTTTACTCTGGGATAAATGGGAATATGAATGGAGAAGCTGTAAGGATATGGGAAGGAAAGAGTGTGACAGAGCAAAAGGACCTTTTTAGACTTCTTATATATAATATTGTGCAGAAAGGTATTCAGTAGGAGAACCTCAGGTGAGTCTGGGATGGTGAAGGAGATTGTGCAAAGTATGAATAATTAAACCTCTGTCCAGAATGTCCCAGAAGACATGAGACAGTGAACCTACTTCTTTACCACAATACTAGCACCTATCAGGGGATCCTGGGTATATATGTGACAGTTGGGTTGGCACGAAGTACCAATGCAGGAGTAGTTTCATGCTTGTCTCCCAGTGAGCAGAGCAATGTGAGGTTTTTATCATTTGGCCTACCGCTGTTTTATTGTTTGCCATGTTTGTAGTGGGAAACTGCACCTAGTTTTGCTTCTTACTGTCTCATGTACTGGAGTTTTCTAAGCGAAGGAGTGAAGGATATGATTGAGGTAAGTCAAACTTTCATACAATTGATGCACATATGTCAGAGTTCCAATAAAAGTTAAAAAAAAAATAAAAATATATATATATATATATATCTATTTATTTCTCCCTCCTTCTTGTTACCTTGGGACAGGGAGGGGGGAAATGCCTATCCTAGGTGATCCAGCATGGAGAGCTTTTGGTGTACTCCCACTGATTGCGCTGACCTACTGAAATGGCTCATGTGAGCTCCAGACTCATATTATCAGAATGTTGCCTTGGTAATAAATCTGCTGCAATTTTCTGAGACTAGGTTGAGACTAGAAGCTGCCTTCTCCATTCCCCCAGCTCTGTTATGCACTCATTGCACTTGATGACTTCCAGCCAAAGCTCACGGGCTGCCTCGGCATGGAGAGGAGCATAAGGATTGGGCTGCAGGGCTGAAAGCTAAAGGACTGTACTGGGTGTCACCTCGTCTGAATGTGACTCCCTGTGCAGTCTGCACCCCTCTAGTGATGCTACTGGTATAGGAGTCCAATAAATTGTTTTCTCACTAGATGAGACATGCGTTGAGCCTTTTGTGTGTTTTGGAGGATACGATGATCCAATTAGCTGACTGGGGTTACTTGCACCAGAACTGTCATGTCCAGGATATTTAATATTATGTTTACTTATCCCTATATATAATGCATATGGATTTGTGTGGTGTAAAATAAATAAATAAATAAATTAAACGTATAAATCTACATTCCTTTATCCTGTAACTAGGAGCCTCTATCTTAGCTCCCTGTCAACAATCATTGTTATAAATTCTGTCATTTGCACTTGGAAAAAAAACATGCAATGAAGTGGAGTAATGAAGCAATATTTGTACTTTTCCAATGTATTAGCTGTTTGCCCTAACTTTTCTTAAATTTAAAAGTAAACAGAGCATATCATGAAAACAAAAAATGTTCTTTCAGTTTTCCATTTCTTATGGCCTTTATATTTAAATCATTATACTGCCCCCATTGGCTCTACCCATTATATTTTCTTCCTTGCACAAGATTCCAAGACCTGTGCACCTGCATTTTCTTCTCCTCTGTCCTTCTGTGACTGATGGATTGTTTATAGATTAGTTTAGCAGTCTGCCCATCACCAAAAATGGCCAAAGATCACATCCGCCTAAGAAAAAGTCGTTCCTACTTTATCTTATGCATAACTAAAAAAAGAAAAAAAAAGTGAACTAAATGTTTTTTCAAAAGCATGGAGAAATAGAGTGATAATTTTTTTTTTTTTTAAATGAAAGGAACACTATAGGGTCAGGAACACAAACATGTATTACTGACCCTATAGTGTTAACCATCTAGCCCCCCTGGGACCCTTCTAAATATAGTAAAATCTTACTTGTATTCAAGTCTGCTGCTGCTGGTTCTGCCCCTGATTTGCCTGCTTGGATGACATCATCAGAAGTGATTTGAGCCAATCACAATGCTTTCCCATAGGATTGGCTGAGACTGTCAAGGAGCCAGATAAGGGGCAAAGACAGTACAAGTCAAACACAGACCTGGCCAATCAGCATCTCCTCATAGAGATGAATTAAATCAATGCATGCAAAGGGTGGAGAAAGCTCAATATCAGTGCTCCAGGAAGCACCTCTAGTAGCCAGTGGAGGTATTCGTAGGCTGTAGTGTAAACACTGCATTCTCGCTGAAAAAAAAACGGTTTACTGCAAAAAGTCTGAGAGGAATGATTATACTCACCAAAACAACCACAATAAGCTGCAGTTGTTCTGGTGACTATAGTGTCCCTTTAATTTAAAACCAAAACCTGCAAATGACAGAGCCGCTTTAACACTAGTTATATATTCCAGACAAGTGACAGTTCCTCTTTAAGCTCCAATAAATGTCATATATTTGATTGAATTCCTAGAATAAAACTAAACACATTTGGAATTTATAACTAATTTAACTGCTTCTGTTGGATATTCTTAAAAGCTTTACAGAAAAATAAAGTGTACAGTCGTATCTACTTACATGACAGGCGTATAGTCGTACCCTTGGAAAATACCCATACATACCCAATAATGCACGGACATCAATATGTTGGGTAAAATTCTGTCCACAGCTTTTAATGCAATGCATAGAATGGTTATCTACAAGCCTGAGGTACCACAATGGCATTCCTCCGACTACATATCAAGCTTTACATTTGGGATATGAGAGTGGACATGCACATTTTTTATATATAAATCTGTAGTTTGGAGTGTAGTGTTATATATAGCAATGAGCAGGATATTTAGTTTGTTCTCAAGATGCATGCGGGTATGCTTATACAAAATATTCTGTCCTTAGGGATTCGTAAAAGGAAAACCATTATTAAACATGTTTGAGTTAGTAGTTGCGTGGTCATTAATAGCTATTTATTCAAGCTGTGGATACTCAGGGTTATGAGATAAAGTTTACCCTGCTAAGTGAGCTGCCCTATAGAACATTGGTGTCAGCGTAATCATCTAAGTATCATTCTGGTGTTGCCTCTTAAGGCGAGTATAGTGATGAACTAGTAGGTAAGTATGCTATAATGCTTAACACACATTCAGACAGTCTCTCGAGGTCGTAGTGGTGGGGGAGTTCTTCCTGCTAGCGTGTACCTTGATTGGAGCATTGTCGCCACGGGCCCGGTGTCCACCGGTTGTCAGTTGCGTCCAGACTTGGGTCTCACGTCTGAGTACCGTGTCAGCAGGGCGGAGCCGTGGTGTCTCGGATGCGGGAATCCTCTCCTGCCCCGGAGCTGTGAGAGAGCTGGTGCTTGTAGGTCACAAGCCTGGGAACCTTCGCGGTCCAGGGTCGGCCCTTTCGGATTGGTGCATGGAGTCTGAGCAGGTCGCTTGGGTATTTGTCTTGCCGCTCTCCGCTTGTGTGGCCGGCACCTCTGGGGCACTCCCCTTCTTGCTCTCAGCCCGGGAGGGCCTTAGATGTGGGAATCTGATGTGTGGGTCTTAGAGTTGAGGAGGACCCCCATTCAACCGTCTGCCATCGGCTTTTACCCTCGTGGGTAAGTTTTTTGGCAAGTCGCTGCAGGCTGTAAGCATGCCTATAATTTGGCCCAGAAGCGGTTAAAGAGTATAGCGATGGGATCTTTTGCGTGGTCCCCGGTGTTCGCTCTACCAGGTTGTTGTCCGCCATCTTGAGTGCACCTGTCTCCGCGTTGCTAGTGGAGGGCGTTGTGCCTGGGATATCCCCCACCGCTCCACGGGGAGGTGCATGTTTTGCATTCGCATGTTGCAGTTGGTATCTGGCGGGAAGGCGGACGTCCTTCGCCCCTGCCTCCGCTAGGCCTCACTTTGCTACCACGGTTCCTGGTCGGGCTGGGTATCAAGTTTGGTACCGGCATGTTCGTGGCTGCTGCTACTTGCCAATGGGCCGGTTTGTGGGGGAATCACAGCAATTAGTCTCCGGTTATCTGCAAAGTTTGGGCCCTCACTGCAGGAGCTTGTGTAGTGTGCATTTGGTCAGTTTGCCAGCTCGGCTCTGCCCCCTATAATATAAATTTTAATACAAAAAGTAATTGTGAAACAAACCCTATGACACAGTATACAACTAACCCCCCCACAACATTACAACGACAATCACCCCAATAGTAACAACATAAATAACATCATGAAACATAATAACGTGCAAAAATTTGCCCGAATGATCCAAAGTAGGGGTATACCGAGATACCTACACCCCCAGGTTCTGAGCCACAGACCAGCTTGAAACCTACCATACCAACTTGCCCAAATGATCCAATGTAGTGGTATACCGAGATACCACTACACCCCCAGGTTCTGAGCCACAAGCCAGCTCAAAACCTACCATACCAACTTTTAAACCCACATAATTAATTAAATCCCTAATAACCCATTCAACCCCCCCCCCCCAATTTACCTATCCAGTTCCCTGCCACAGCTCAGACCTTGACCCCTTAAGATATCTGAGCACCGCCACCCCCAATATACAATGTCCTGGCCAAACCTTCCTGTATTCCCAAATTGAAACGGTGGAGACCAACATCCGAAAGATACACCCCATACATACAAAAATAACCTGGCAACATTGATTCCAGCCCCAGGTGCCTAATCACCCGCTATCAATTTATTGACCTAAAGCATGCCTCCAGTGAAACCGGGGAACCATTTCCAAACAAATAACCACTACCCTTGCCACTAACTCCTGCAATTGGTCCACATCCCTTTTCATTTGTTTAACCAACTCCAGCTTTTGCACCTGCCCCAGGTCACTGGGATTTGCCCCTGTGTCCACGTAAGCTGCCACTGAGCCAGATGCGCCAGTAGTGGAACTGGTCTTACCCCACTTGAAGAACCTGCTGAGTCTGTGGGCTCCTCTAAAGCCAAGGCACTTGTGCTTGAACTTACAGCCGGTGCCCCACTTACATTAGCTATATATGAGTAGCCTGAAAAAACTTAAGTCTAGATAACAGAACAAGGCAAGGATGCAAAAAGCCATAACCAATTACCAAAAGACTTAGGTATCTTCTGATAACGCCGCCTTTTATCATTCCCCACTTCCTTTACATCGTTCTTATCCTCTTCATTCATGTCAATGAATTCTTCTAAGGTTAAGCGAAAATATTCCCAAAACTCCCCCTTCAATTTTTTTTCTTACATCTTTTGTTGTAAATAGACCACCGGAACCCCCTGAAAAGGATACTTAAGCATTCTGTCTGGCTGCACCAATAATGCAGCCAGACAGTTCCGTGACCTACGCACCCGATGCTGCCACTACGTAAGCCCCAACACTCCCTTCAATCTACGGAACTACAATAGCATTGCCCCCAACCTTTTGACCCCGCATGTGGTACCCAAACTTGCCCAAAGCCTGACCTGTTTCCTGTCATTGTACCCCACAAATTTAGAAAAGATTAAACCTTCTAGTAAATTCCCACCATGTAGTGCAGTATTTATCTCACCACCGAATCCCCAGTTGCCGAAAACTGCGGGGATGCCTCTCATAGTCTTCCAGTTTCGGAAACTGCTGCTACAGCTGCTGGCATGGATCATGAAGCTTGGTTCCTAAATGAAACCGCTGATGATCAACTCCCAGACCTTCAAGAAGAAGTAGTCCTGGGTAGTCTGTTCCTACCAACACTGTCCCTTCCTTAGCTGGAGTAAGTAACCTGCCATCACGTTCCCAAGTGAGGCCCACCTGCCTGAGTGGGGGATCTTGTTTCCCTGTAAAGACTGTGGCCCCTAGGACCAACTCTGTCCTCTGCCATTGTTCCCAACCCCTCCCGGGCTGCTGGTACATGCTTATCACTCCTGCTGCCAGAGTACTCCTGTTCCAGTTTCTTGCCATGATGATCACTGGATCTACTATGTTCTGATCTGACACCTTTCCTGTCAGCCTTAAGCCTCCTGCTGTCCTGAACAGCACCCATGATGTCCTGGGCCCTGCTGTGATGCTTTTGCTGCCAGACCCTTTGATAAACCTGAAAGAGAAAAGGGAATTCTCCCAGGCCTGAAGCCCCACCAGCAGTGCTGGCAACAACAACAACAAGGTCTGTGAGAAGACATTAGAATGGGAACATTTTAAAATAGCTGCCTTACGTATCAGCCTGCACATCCCAGATAACTAGCCAATCCAAACACACTAATTTTATGGCAAGACAGGAGGCTTCATATTTGCTTTAACCTTCTTTACTGAACCTCCCAGCAGCAAAGAAATAGTTAAACATATAGTGAAAAAATCAACCAATCAGGACACATATTAGAACATAACAGTCTGTCAGGCTCCTCCCAAATCCTCTTTCTTTGCTGCTTGCCTCCCAGGTGAGTCTATTCCAATTATAGCTCTCTAATATATATATTATTGACCTACCTTATTTAGTTTTTTTCCATATATTTTTTGACTCCTTTAATTAACTTTCCCTGTCTCTTATTTCCATGAGGTAATGGTGTGTTTATTTTATCTGTGCACTTTACCACATAAACCTTTTCACAGGTCAGCCCACTGTTCAGTCCCTTCCCTGTGCTTTTTATTTATGACTGACTGGGTTTTTTTGTAGTAAAACCTTAATAACCTTTTCCTTGGTGAAATTATCTTCAGACCGCGCCACTGCTGTGGCTGCGGTCCGTTTTAATCACGCCCGCGATCTATTTCCGTACCGCCCGTTTTTTCGCGTCATTTGATTGACACGCAGTTTCCCGCCTTCCTCCTTCTATGCCGGCGGCCATCTTCTGTTCGGCGGTTAGTTTCCGTTCGCGCGCTTTTTCGGTGAACAGCTCTCTGCTACTGGATTGCAGCTCTGTTAGACGGTAAGTTTCATTGCCCCCTGCTGGTACATTTTGTTATTACATCTGAATATTACACAGAACACTTGCTTATATTAGCCTATTTGTGTTTTTATTTGCAGATTGCTCTCAAACTATACTATACAGCTCTATGCCTATTAGAGGGTGACCCCCTCTTGCCTTTTTGATTTAAGGGTGATCCCCTTGTGCCTCTTTATTGAGGGTGACCCCCTCGTGCCTTATCTCTCAGGGTGAACCCCTTATATATTTTATTGATTTGCACAGGTTACCCCTGTCATTATTATATTGACAGTTTAACTGCCATAATTGTGGATGAACCCCACTTGGTCCCCTTAAAGGTGACTGCATATTATCTGGGTGAACCCCAATAAGACAGCCCCTGCTTTTACTTGTTTTGTGTAAAGTTTGTTAATATATATAATAAAAAAAGAATTTATATAAAAGTTGTTTAATATACCTTTTGGTATACTGATTCTGTGGTGACCCCACTACTATTTTACTGGTCACCATGTCGGACCAACCAGAACCTGCAATGTCAGCAGAATTAAAAGTCTGGCTTCAAGCTGCAATTGCAGACTCTATCCCCAAAGCCTTGGCAGCATTTCGTGACCAGACAGCCACTACTGCCACCATCTCGCAATTGTCAGACTCTGATGATTCCAGGGTCTCTGACCATGTCGAAGCCCCACGTAAACGCCCGTGGAAGGGTAACAGTGCTTCTGCTGGCAAAGGCAAAGCCCCAGCAAAGACAGCTAAATTGTCTCATGCCAAACGCACTTTGACCTCAGAATCTGACCTCTTAAAGGACTCAACCTCTGGCTATCACCTACGAGTGATAGACGAATACAATGCGTATCCAGAGGAGGATCTCCCCGGTGACCCTTCCCCTTCTGAATTTGTTACAGAGACTTTCCTCCTACCCCAAACCCAGTCCTTTCAGGACACTGACCCTATGTCCACTACTAATTTAGACAATTCTAAGGACGATATCCTACTGGATACCAATGGTTGTCCTCTATTTGACCCACGCTGCATCAGACACCCTCGTTCAGCGGAATGGACACCCCCTGATCACATTGCAAAATATTGCAGATTATGGCTTCGTAAACCCTTAGAAAAGGAGATTAGGGCCAAATTAAGAGCAGAATGTCCACGGCCTATGATCCCTGATAAGGTGGCTGTCACCCCTGAACTTGACCCACTCCTGGTCACTTTTCTAACTAAGACGGGTAAAGATCCCCGCAAGGGAATCGAAGTTGGCTTAAAAGCCACCCAGGACAAGCTGATGGATATAGCAGGCCCGCTTATCCAGATTTTTATAATTGCTGATGAGACGCTAGCAGGAGGCAATTTTGATGCACACATGGTGCGTGAATGGGCACAAAGAGCGTTATGCCTGTTAGGCAACGCCAATGTAGCTATTTCCGTTGAACGGCGTAAAGCCGTGTTATATAAAATTGATGCCAAATTGGCAGAACTAGGCACCAAAGAACTTGGTCCAGAGGCTAACGGACTATTATTCGGGGACAGGTTCATACGAGACCTGAATAAACACGTATCCGTGTTTACCTCCCTTAACAAGGCACAATGGAACCTTCGCAGGGTGTTCAGACCCCAGCGTTTTTCCGGGAGAGCTGGTCGCTATAGGGGCCGAACGACTGGCAGAGCTGCCTTCACAGGCTACAGGCCTCAACCAGCAGACTCATGGAATTCGGGCAATACCCGTTTCTACCACAAGCAGTTCTTTCACTCTAGACGTTCCATCAGAGGACGTGGATATGCTTCCCTCCGGGGCCGCACTGCTTCAGGTAATCGACTTTCCTTATTCTCAAGTTCCTATTGCAGGTCGGCTAACCCTTTTTTTCCAACAGTGGTCTCTATTAACTCAGGATCCATGGATCCTTCAAACTGTATCTGGTTTCCATATAGATTTTGCAAACGACCCTCTACAAGAGTTCCCCCCTCCACCTCTGCACATGTCTCAAGAGGACAATGCGACTTTGGAGGCCGCGCTAAACGACCTTGTCGCCAAGGGCGCTATAGAACGTTCTCGGTCCCCTCACAGATTCATAAGCAACATATTTCTGGTCCGAAAACAGTCAGGGGACTTTCGACCAGTTATCAACCTGAAAGACCTAAACACTTTTATTGTTTACCAACATTTCAAAATGGAGGGTATCCACCTCCTTCGAGACCTACTCTGCGAGGGAGACTGGTTCTCCCGTTTAGACTTGACAGATGCTTACCTCACGGTTCCTATAACACCGGCCCATCGCTGTTTCCTACAGTTCAGATGGCATCAAGACTTATGGCAGTTCACATGCCTTCCCTTCGGACTCTGTTCCGCACCCTGGTGTTTCACCAAGCTGATGAAACCGGTCATGGCCTTGCTACGCTCCCTAAGGATTCGCTCCATCATATATCTGGACGATATCCTCCTTATGGCTCGGGACCCAGGCACTCTACGCCTCCATACAGACATGACCACAGCTCTGTTACAAAACTTGGGGTTCGTGATCAATGTCCAAAAATCCATCCTCACCCCATCTCAGGTGGTTCAGTTCCTGGGATTCCAAATACATTCCGTTTTGGCTATCCTACAACTCCCTTCAGTAAAGATCAAGAACATCAAAAAAGACATCAGAAAAATTCTAGCCTCTTCGACTATCCGCCTTCGCGACTTAGCTCGCATAATCGGACTACTCTCCGCCTCAATTCAGGCGATCTTCCCAGCTCCTTTACATTACCGAGCAATGCAACGTCTGAAGACTCGCTCATTACGTCACTCTGCATCTTACGATCAACAGATCTCCTTGACAGACGAAGTCCGACTCGAATTGAACTGGTGGCTACACCATATGGAAGCATGGAATGGGAGAGTGATCTTTGGATCACAGCCAGATTACATCCTAGAATCAGATGCCAGTCTTCTAGGCTGGGGTGCATCATGCGCAAATCTCTCTACCGGAGGTCCTTGGTCCCCATCAGAACGGGCATTGCACATCAATTGCCTCGAGTTGATTGCCGGGTCCTTTGCGATTCGCAGTTTCGCAAAGGACTCCTACAATTGTTCCCTAGTACGGAGAATGGACAACATCTCAGCTGTTCAATACGTGAATCGTTTAGCGGGATCCCGTTCCAAAATGCTCTCAGACCTCACAAAAGAACTCTACCGGGTTCCGACAACTTAGTCGCAGATTGGTTCTCTCGACACTGGAGAGACTCCAGCGACTGGCAATTGGACCCACACCTTTTTTACCGTCACCATCTTCTTCGGGGTCCATTCAATATCGACCTATTTGCATCTCGTCTGAACCGACAGACGGACACTTTTTTTCAGTTGGTTGCCGGATCCGACCTCTCTGGCAGTAGACGCCTTCCTTCAATCATGGCCAATGACCGGCACTTATGCCCCCCCTCCGTTCTCCATGATCCTTCGCACTCTCCATCATCTCAGGACTCAGGGGGCCACAATAACACTGCTGACCCCTTTGTGGCATACCCAGCCATGGTTCCCCAATCTCTTGGAGATGTCGGTGAATTATCCACTACTGCTACCTGTCACGCACGATCTTCTCAAAGATCCCGCAGGCAATTTTCACCCTCTTATGTTGCAGGGTCATCTCCAGCTAGTGGCCTGGACTGTTTCAGGGGATCCTGGAATGCCGCAGGACTTTCGGAGACTGCTAGAGCACTCTTATGGGACTCATGGGCCCCCGGGACTAGACGCTCTTACCTCTCAGCCTGGCGAGTTTGGCATCGCTGGTGCTTGGAAAGGTGTATTGATCCCGTTTCAGCTTCTTTGATTAACGTCATGAACTTTCTGTCCTCTCTTTTTGATCAAGGTAAATCCTACAGATCCATTAATGTGTTTCGTTCAGCAATTTCGGCAGCTCATGGCCCCATTGATAATACAGCAATAGGTAAACACCCCTCCATCTGTAGACTGTTGCATGGCATTCGTCTTGCTCGACCTCCTGTCCCAAAATATTCTCATTTTTGGGATGTTGCTCTTGTTTTGTCCTTCCTAGAGACTTGGCCACCCAATGAAGCACTCTCTTTACGACAACTGTCGGCCAAATTAGCTTTTCTCCTCTGCTTGGTTTCTTTTAGGAGAGTCTCTGATATTCAGGCATTTGACTTTCACGCTATTGAATTCACGCCCCAAGGTGTATGTTTCAACATTTCTCGCCGCACTAAAACTAATTCCTTAACGATTACTTACCTTTATTTTTCTGACAGACCATCGCTTTGCGTTGCTCGTTGTGTCCAACACTACGTCGCCTCTACATCACCTCTACGTCCCCCTATGGGCCCCCTGTTTATCTCATATGTGCGACCACACAAGCCAGTGTCTTGTCCCACGATTGCCCGCCGGATTAAATGGCTTCTAGATTCAGCGGGCATAGATTCATCTTTTGGCGCTCATTCTGTCAGAGGCACTGCTGCCTCTTCCGCCTTTATAGCTGGGGGATCCCTTGCAGACATCCTAAAATGCGCTGATTGGTCTAGAGAATCTACCTTCCGTACCTTCTATTTTCGACAATCGTCCCATGCTTCTTTTTCTTTGGTTTCCACGCTTTAAAACAGCAAATATGAAGCCTCCTGTCTTGCCATAAAATTCGGGATTATTCTAGCGTTAGTGACTGAATAATCTAAATTTTATTAAAGACAGGAGGCGAATATTTTCCCACCCTATTGCTCTCCCACCCAGATTTTTTTCAGATCACATGTACTCTTAAAAATTTTTCTAGGTTTCTTGTGAGACTTTATATTTATCTGACTGTTTTTCTTGTTTGCTCTGTTTAGGTGCTTATCAATCTGCCTGGTTCTGATTATTTTAAATTTTGCAATAGTTATACTCGTAATATCCAGGGGGTAGATCTGTAAATGTAGATATCTTGCGGACACCCAGTCCAAGTGACCATACTTTCACGATCTTTCTCTGTCTTTTAGTGTGAAGTTTCTCTACATGAGCCACGAAGACTACGTTCCTTTGGTCTCTAGTATCGGCTGCGTTCTGGTTTACATGGTTGATGGATTACTCAAGTTTACACGGTTGACTACACTTATGATCGGCTGCATCAGAAAGAGGATTTGGGAGGAGCCTGACAGACTGTTATGTTCTAATATGTGTCCTGATTGGTTGATTTTTTCTCTATATGTTTAACTATTTCTTTGCTGCTGGGAGGTTCAGTAAAGAAGGTTAAAGCAAATATTCGCCTCCTGTCTTTAATAAAATTTAGATTATTCAGTCACTAACGCTAGAATAATCCCGAATTCTGAATGCCCGCCTCCTAGCTCTGTCACGGCCCTATTCCACTAAGCTGTGCTGCTCCGTGGGCTACAAACATGTCTGCAGAGTTCTACGCAGTTTTTATTATTCTGACAAACAAGAAGATAGCACAACAAACAGTGAAATCTGAAAACAGCAACACCTACTGACAGAACAGTATATAACACTTAAGATATATACAGTACATAAAATACATGAGCACAGTATTCTAACACCCCCATTCAACAACTACTCCTTATGTTAATACCATTTTGGACCTTAGTTCCACAAGTCTGTTTCTTGTGAGCGACTTTGTCTGGAATTCACTAAAAGATGTCATCTCTTCATCAGCAATCTCATCTATCTTCTTTATTGTGTCAGGACTTATGTGCTCAAATCGCCTGTGCGAAGTGCAGATGCAGTTTGAATGCCTTTCCTCTTTGGCAGAATTAACATTTTCACTGCAGTTCTTTTGATACAGTTCACCTGTGATTTTAGCGTTTGCGAGTAAGTATTCCACTTTTGTGATGATGCAACCATCATCTTGGAAGGTCACTATATTGCCTTGTTTTGTCAGCTTCTTTACTGACAAAACGCATAGTTGCCAACATTTGAAATAAATTTCCAGAGACACTTTGCAGCACAGCTATCAATTACTACCTTGAAAATTTACCACACCCACTGCCGCAAAGCTCCGCCCACTACATCCAACCCACATAATTAATCTCCGCCTACTTATAGTGAAGATTACAGGGTCTACTCAATAATGAGAGAATTACAGGGAATTGAGATGTTAAATTTAAACTTAAGGCCAAAGTAGCCGAGTTGAAAAAATTCTCCCATTCAGCTGCACTATTTCGACCTAAAGTTTGACATTACCATCTCAATTCCCTGCAATTCTCTCTTTACTGAGTAGACCTTTATAACACCAAGTTCCCACCAACAGTACCATGCATCCTTGGTATGCGACATATACATTCCCAGCACAGCATCTATATCAGGCAGGTGCATATTATCACTTTTAGGTGAGTTGGGTATCAGTGGTGACACTGTCAGTACAAATATAGAAAGACCTTGTGCAGATTTGCTTCAGTAAGAAAGTTGTCTCTATACCATAGAACATACATTAGTTCACAAAAATAATTATATTGGGGAGTGAATATATTAAAAATAAAAAAGCTGAAGATAGGAAATGAAAGATATAGACGGAGAATGTACAGAATGGAATTAATTAGAGAAATGGGAGTAAAAGGAAAACATATGCACATATTCCATTAGCCCCTTTTCATGCCACCAATTCAACACGTTGAATGTCTCAGATTGAGGCTTCAGTCACCACTCCGCTGCTTCTGATTCTTCTAGTTCCTGGAGTCTACGGGTATTATACAGAGAGCAACACTATACAGGGAGCAATGACTGTCCCAGGATATTATATACAGACCTATATTATACAGAGAGGAGCACTGTACAGGGAGCACTGACTGTCCCAGCTTATTATACACACAGACCTGTATTATACACAGAGCAGCACTATACAGGGAACACTGACTGTCCCAGCTTATTATACACACAGACCTGTATTATACAGAAAGCAGCACTATACAGGGAGCACTGACTGTCCCAGCTTATTATACACACAGACCTGTATTATACAGAGAGCATCACTATATAGGGAGCACTGACTGCCCCAGCTTATTATACACACAGACCTGTATTAAACAGAGAGCAGCACTACACAGGGAGCACTGACTGTCCCAGCTTTTTATACACAGAGACCTGTATTGTACAGAGAGCAGCACTACACAGGGAGCACTGACTGTCCCAGCTTATTATACACACAGACCTGTATTGTACAGAGAGCATCACTATACAGGGAGCACTGACTGTCCCAGCTTATTATACACACAGACCTGTATTATACAGAGAGCATCACTATACAGGGAGCATTTACTGTCTCAGGATATTATACACAGAGAGCATAACTATACAGGGAGCACTAACTGTACCAGGATATTATACACACATACCTGTACTATACAGAGAGCAGCACTATACAGGGAGCACTGACGGTCCCAGCTTATTATACACACACATACCTGTATTACACAGAGAGCATCACTATACAGGGAGCACTGACAGTCCCAGGATATTATACACAGAGAGCAGCACTATACAGGGAGCACTAACTGTACCAGGATATTATACACACAGACCTGTACTATATAGAGAGCAGCACTATACAATACAATACAATACAGCGGATATCACAATCCCTTCCTCTATGGTTAAGTTATGCAAATCATGTTTGGGCTGGACTAGAAGATTGTACACACACAGAAAGAAAAGGTAGCCATTTTCTGCAGCAAGGTCTCCTGCTTAATGTGGGGGCGGAGCTTGATGGTGGGATTCGGCGCATGCATGCATGGGTGGAGCTTACCATGTGGAGGCGGAGCCTGCCTCCGCAAGGCAGAGCAGGAGCATGTTTGTTAGGGAAGCAGCTGGGAAATTGGAAGGGAGACTATCAGTGTTCCCTGTAGCCCCAAAAGCCCCAGGCATCTCTCTATAGCCCCCAGCATCTCCCAGCACCTCTGTCCTGAATTACCTCTAACTGTAACAGGCTGTTACAGTCCGAGGGAAAATAATAAAAGCACATGGATCTGCAAGTAAAATGGTCTCCTATTCTTTCTGATTCCATTAATTGCCCACTAGCTGTGCTGATTTTTTTTGTTTTACTTTAATCAAGTTCAGGGTGACCAGATTCACCATGTGTGCAGGGCTTTATATAATATTGGCATATTTATACAAAAAACATGAAAAGGGTTGCCCTGCAGTATGTACAATGCATAGTCTGCAGGATTCTTCATTGCCTAAACACCTATTGATGGGCAGCACATGAAAAGGGTTGCCCTGTAGTATGCAGAATTCAGAAGAAGGTGTATAAGATTAAGCAATTAGGCAATGAAGAATCCTGCATACTACAGGGCAACCCTTTGCATGTGCTGCCCATCAATATATATATTTGATATGTGTCCCAGAAAACATGTTGGTTCTGGTCACGCTGATCAAGTTGAGTAAAGAAATTCCTGTCATTGGTCATGTGACTCGTATTTACTGAATCAACGCACCATGCATGCAAAGATGAAGTGCCACATTTGGATTGAAAAACATGTTCAGTTTAATCTGTTTCTTCCTTCACACTTTTGGCCTCCCGCAGTTGACCTTGTTTTGACAATCTGGCTTTCCAAATTCTGCAATCTGTCTTTAAGTGACCAAATTTCTTGCACATAAAGCATTTACGCGTTTCTTGCTGCGTATTGCTGTTTTTATTCTTATTTATCTTTAATGCTGATGCTGATCTGGAAGCGCTTTCATAGTTAACGCCTTCTGTTTTTCCCTTATATTTATCCACAAGCTATATTTATCCAATGTCAGTGCATCATTTGGACGTGCATCAAGTGCAGTGTTGTATTTTGGATATGTGCTGCCCTAGGCATGTAAAAAAATCAGGCACCTCCCCATCTAAATTTGCCCCGCCCCTACCTGTTTAAGACGAACACGCAGTTTGACTGGCAGACACACACTGACACACCCATTCACTGACAGGCACACACTCTCAGCTACACATACAGTGACACATTCACTGACCGACAATGCATTCACTGACAGATACACACACTCACTAGCAGATACACACTCACCCAAGGACATACACTGACAGACACCCACTCACTCAGACACACAGTGACAAACATGCACACATTCACTCACAGACACAGAGGCTGACAGACACACACATTAACTCACAGACACAAACTGACAGACAGACACACACATTCATTGGCAGATACACACACACATTCACTCACAGACACATTCACTGACAGACACACACATTAACTGACGGATGGACACACACACTCACTGACAGACACCCTGATACTGACACATTCACACACTTAAAAAGTATTATAGATATTTTTAAAATATCAGTTTTGATCCACCCAGCCTCCCTACATTTGGGAGAGCTGGAGTGGATTCTTCCCTGGGGTCCAGTGGAGCTGGCTGGGCTGGCTGCTGGACTGGCTGGGCTGGTGGCTTGCTGCTGGTCTGGCTGGTGGCTGGCTGTTGGATTGGCTGGGCTGGCTGCTGGGCGGCAGGGCGTGCAGACATACAGTTGTGGCAGCGAGGGAGTTGTAATCCTCCTGCTCAGCTCACTCGCGTACCGCTCAGTGATGTCGGGAGCAGTATTGACTTCAAATCCCAGCATTACTGCGAGGCACGAGTCAGCTGAGCAGGAAAAGCTCCCCCTGCCAGGCACTTAGGGGCGCCTTTTTTTGCCGCCCCCCTAAAAGTGCAGCCCAAGGCAAATGCCTTGTTAGCCTCGTGGGATATACACCACTGATCAAGTGCTGTAACTAGTGTTTCATCACTTTCAGGTAAAGCACTAAGTAACAGTGCTGCAACATGAACATCTTTTATTACTTCTCCTATACCTCTCAGTCGTTCAGCCATTTCCAATGTATGTCTTATATAAGTTTGCATTTCCTGGTCTTTCATCAGCTTAGTCTGACATAATTTTCTAATTAAATACAGTATATTGCTGATATTAGTTCTTCCATACACCTTGTGCAGTTCTTCCCAAATTTCTTGAGCAGTTTCACAATTGCATATACAGTATGTATTATTTGATCGTCATCCTTGCACAGGGAGAAAATGCTCTGCGATTTCAGATTCTTCTCTATCCAGGACCATTCATCTGTGGCTTCTGGAGGTCTGGCAGAATTTCCATGTACGTACCTGAACGTTTTGTTGAAGTTGCATTACCTGCCATTTTTCTATTCTTCCTGTTGCAGTCTTCACTCTTACTGTAGCAAACTTTGACTGGGCCCATAACCTGCTGGGTATTCTTAAAAGCTCTACAGAAAATAAAGTGTGTACAGTCTTATCTGCTTGCAAGCATGTCTGCAGAGCACCATGCAGGTTTTATTATTCTGAAAAACAAGAAGATATCACAACAAACCGTGGACAGCATAGCACATACATATATGTTGTAGGAACATTAAAGGAAGACATACCATATTAAAATCTTCATCAAATCACCATCAGTCATCTTCCTCCTCAATAACATGTTGCACTTGTTGAATCGGGCACTGTCCTTGTTTCTGGTTTGTTTTAGATGCTCCATGTCTCATCCCTTCCACCCCCAACCCCTCCCAGCATCTCATCCCCTCCTCCCAGCCCATCCATGTGTCTCAGCCCCCCGGTGTCTTATTCTGACCTCCCAGCCCCATCCATCTGTCCCATTCCTCCCTACCAGCCCCATCTATCTGTCCTATTTCCCCATCCCCTCCTGGACATATTGATGTGTCTCTCCCCCTCCCCTACAGTACCTGTCCATGTGTCTCTCCCCCTCCCCTCCTGTACCCTATGTATCTCTCCCTTCCTGTACCTGCCCATGTGTCTCTCCCTTCTCCCCTCCTGTAACTGCCCATGTGCCTCTCCTTCCTCCCCTCTTGTTCATGCATGTCTGCCCCCTCTCGTCCTGTATCTGCTCACCACGGTACAGTACACGGTCTGACAGGAAGTGCTCTCTCAGTGAGCACTTCCTGGCAGACTGCAGTCCACTCAGCAATGCTACAACAGCAGCAGGAGGGGAGCAGCACAGCAAAGCGTTCCCCTCCTACCGGTCACCATGTTTGCACCATGATGATTACACTTACCTTTCTCTTCTCCTGGCCACAAACACAAAATGGCGGCGTGTCCGGGAAGCGTTCGTAAAGGCAGGAAAACATAAAGCGTGAGTACGTAAACCGGGATATGCCTGTATAAAAAAAGTGGTTTTACAGAATACATGAACACAGTATTATAACAGCTTCAATTAGAAGCGATGCTCTCAGAGAGGACAGACAAAATGTTTGAACATGATACCAGCTAGCTGTTTAGACTATTTTTAGTGACTGGTTAGTAAACTGATGACAGAACCTGAGATAGGAATTCATATCAGTCTTGCTACCAGCAGTGGTTAATAACCGTGCCAGACTGGACTACCAGGATATTTCCTGGTGAGCTGCCTCAGCTGGGGCTGGGAAGGGCAGGCTGCTAGGAGTTTTTCTCCGAGTGGCTTATAAATAAGCTATTAATAATACACAGAGTTGTTCACTGGAGTTTCAGGTTCTGGGTAGAAATGAACCAACTGGAAAAATTATCTTAGTCAGCTATGCTTTTAGTTCGGCTACTTTGGCCTTGGGTCTGGTTTACCTTAAGTTCTCTTTGGTAAATGAACCTGATAATCACTAAGCTTGCATACAGTGGCGTACATACTGGGGTCGCAGGGGTCGCGGCTGCGACCGGGCCTGGCCCACCAGGGGGCCCGGCGGCCCTGCGATCCGGTATGTATGTCAGTGTGGCCAGCTTCTTCTCCTGGGGGGCCCAGGAGCTGGCCACCTCAGGGCCCCCGAGGCTGGCCCTGGTATCATCCGGCGGGCAGGCTGGCGCGCGAGGGAGCATTCTCCCCTGAGTGCTCCCTCTTCAGCTCCCTCGTGCACCGCACTGATGCCGGAGCCGGAAGATGACATCATATTCCGGCTCCGGCATCAGTACGCGGCGCGCGAGAGAGCTGAACAGGAAGCACTCAGGGGAGAGTGCTCCCTCGCACGCCCGCCAGCCGGGTGACACCACTGGACCCAGGGAATCCCCTCAGCTCTCCCAAAGGTAGGGAGGCTGGGGGGATTAAATTTTTTTTTTTAAACGTGTGTGAGTGAGTGTGTGTGTTAGAGTGTGTGTGTGTGTTAGAGTGTGTGTTAGTGTGTGTGTTAGAGTGTGTGTGTGTGTTAGAGTGTGTGTGTTAGTGTTAGAGTGTGTGTGTGTTAGAGAGTGTGTGTGTGTTAGAGTGTGTGTGTTAGTGAATGTGTTACTGTGTGTCTGTTACTGAGTGAGTGTGTATGTATGTCTGTCACTGAGTGTGTGTATGTCAGTAAATTTGTGTGTCTGTTAGCTAGTGTGTATGCGTCTGTTCATGAGAGTGTGTGTGTGTCTTAAGCACTTACCTTTCTCCAGCTCTGGACTCCCTTGGCGCTGGGGTCTCTCCTCCCTGATCCGCCTCTCAGCTCCGAATGCGCATGTAGGGCAAGAGCCGTGTGCGCATTCAAACCGCCCATAGGAATGCATTACTCAATGCTTTCCTATGGACGTTCAGTGTCTCACAGTGAGAATCGTGGAAGCTCCTCTAGCGGCTGTCAATGAGACAGTCACTAGAGGCTGGATTAACCCTCAGTGAAACATAGCAGTTTCTCTGAAACTGCTATGTTTTCAGCTGCAGGGTTAAAACTAGAGGGATCTGGCAGCCAGACTCCATTATTAGCTAATCGATTACCTAATATTCTACAAGGCCCCAACAGCACAGTTTTATGCCGAAATTTATTTAGGAAAACCCTAGCTCAGCTGTTAGTGTATTATGGATATTTGCTGATGTTTGCTCCTGTAGCTATCTATGCTAATGTTATTATTTTTATTTTACTCATATATCATTTTCAGTTTAAGCAACACAACTCATTTATTTACCTATACCTTAGTTTACCTGATCAATGTTTTTATCATTTAAATATGTTCAGCCTACCATATAATACCAATCTGCTGGATGCTTTTTATTCTTTCATTATGGATGTTATACTTCTGCATGTACTAATATATTTACCATTGCCTGCTACTTTTGTCAATATATGTAAATGTGTCACTGTATCCAAAATAAAAAAAAGTAATGATTAAAGAATATGGATTTATTAAAGTGGTTTGCTACACTTTTTTGGGGGAAGTTTTCATTATTTTAATGTTTTTTTATTTTCATTTTTTTAATTTTTTTTACAGGAAATAAAATGTATGCGCTACCACATGCCTGATTGGTTGTAACTTGTTACTGTGTAACATTTTGAGAGCAGTATCATTTGCGAATATATTATTGTTTACAGCTAGTTCGACTGGTGGGTTATCTCGATACCAGCACCTTACTGGACTAGACAGCAGTTTTTGTGTATTTAGTCCTTACATCTTGAATTCTCACTTTAGTGAATATGCCTGTAGAAGACATATGTTTTTTGTCAAAGTGCTTGAGAACAATTAAAAAAATATAGGGGAAGATACCCAAATACTACTTACACCATCACCACTATGATAAAAATTCAAAGTAAATTTTAAATTTAAGGCCAAAATAGCCAAACTTGAAAAATTCTCTGAGTCAGATTTCCTACCAGTTCAGCTACTTCAGTCTTTCATTTGAAATTCTCTTTGAATTCCCAACCATGCTCACTATAATGTTAAAACCCTGGTAATGTTTTCCATATTTTAATACATTACCCATTTATTATTTACAAAAAATAATAATATTTCATCTCACCCATGGAGTGCCCCCTTAAAGTGATATTATAGTCACCAAAACAACTTTAGCTTAAAGGGACACTGTAGTCACCAAAACAACTTTAGCTTAATTAAGCAGTTTTTGTGTATAAATCATGCCACTGTAGTCTCACTGCTCAATTCTCTTTCATTTATGAGTTAAATCACTGTTTATGCAGCCCTAGTCATACCTCCCTGCGTGTGACTTACACAGACTTTCTAAACTCTTCCTGTAATGAGTCATGGAATGTTTATACTTCCTTTATTGCAAATTCTATTAAAATTAGAATTTATTTTTCAATAGCAGGAGATAGAGAAGTTAAAAGTAGATTACATCTGATTAAAAATGAAACCATTTTGGCTAGGGCTGCATAAACAAAGACAAAAGTTATTTAACTCCTTAATGGCAGTGTAACTTCAGAGGCATGATCTATACACAAAAACTGCTTAATTAAGCTAAAGTTGTTTTGGTGACTATAGTGTCCCTTTAGTGGTTTTAATAATTGTGTTTGCCGCAGAAAGGTAGGGACAGCTGTGTTGTTATATACCCTAAATTTTAATTGTATTGCAGAGATATGAGGCTAGTGAAAGTTAGGACTTGTATCAGTGACTCACAAGCACATGAGCTGGGAAGCTTGAATGAGAATCTGAAATCAGGCATCATTCCCTAATATTGTCACATGATGTCTACAGCCAGTTCATAACCAGGAGGGATGGGAGGCCTTGATTTCTATCTGCTTCAGCTGTGAGCAGCACAGCTCTTATTTAAAGGAGGCATGAGGAGTCCCATGCATTGAATTAGTTTGTCAGAATGAAGGATCTGGTATTGGGAGGGCTGGTGCTGCTCAGCCTTTGGCTGATCTCAGGAATCCAGGCTGTAAAACGTGAGTATCTTGGAGTCATGTGAGGAGAGAGTTATCAAAGCAAAACATTCTGAGCGTATTGAGACAAGCTAATGGTTTCTATAGTGACGAGTCTATTTATGACTCGTGTTTAATAACTTAAGGAACCTTCAGTTTTCAAATCCTTCCAGACCCCTTATGTTTACTAATCACACTGTGGCAGCTGGCTAAGTAGACCATGTGGCCTCTTCTAATGCTCCTGTGGCATTCGAATCTACCATATTCTAATCGAATCTATGCAGGATACTTATGAAAATGTAGCTGTGGTTCTCATATGAAGCTAATATTGGATGTTCCACACAGAACTTCAATGTGCTCTAAATGATCCATCAGTGTGGTGGTTTGTTTTCTCTTTAACCTCTTAAGGACCAAACTTCTGGAATAAAAGGGAATCATCACATGTCATGTGTCCTTAAGGGGTTAACAGATTTTTGTTTAATGTTTCAGTTGATGCTGTAGTGACTATTGCCTATATTCCTCAAATCTCTACTAAACTCTTGCCAGCTAGTCAAATGATTGATTTCCTCTTAAGCCAGATCATCTGTTTAACCTTGCCTGTTGTTATTTGGGCTTCTACAGTTTTATTAACCATAAGGGCTTATCACTAAATTTAATTGCTACAGGAGGGAATTTTAGATTGTGAGCTGGGAAACAATCAGTTTTCCAAGACTGACTGTTAACTAAACCCCTAAAGTATTTGTAAACTCAACTGTTCAGGCAGAGATGTTCAAGCACTGAAGACTAAATGTTTATAACTGTAAGGGACACACCACTGTTCAAAAAAATCTCTATTTAGTAGATATATCCAAATGAGAATCTGCATTGCACTTAATATGTGCCATAATTAATGGCGCATTTTTTTTCATTCATGAAAATTTAAAGGTAAAAGACAAGATGTGAAAATCAAGGATTACTCTTTCCATGTGTATCAGTCGGGTGGACAAAACCTGACAATAGGCAGACCAGAACAATGTTGGAGTTGCCCATCAAATTCATTTATCAATCCCACAGATGGGCAGACCGGAACAAAATGGCTACACCCAGAGATTGAGATCTGGCGAAAGGAAGGAAAAAGATCTAAAAGATGGGAGTCTAGTCATTAAAGGGACACTTCACTGCCCAAAGAAGTCATTGTATAGTAGATATACCCCAAATTAAAACTGCATGAATTTAATTACTTGTTAAAATGATAAATATTAATCTCTTAATATAATTAACAAATGAGTAATATTTTTATAGTTCTCGGTAATATGGTCTAATATGTGAATTGAAGATACACATACTGTAATAAATGTACATTCAGGGCCAGATTAAGAGCCCAGTGGACCTGGTGCTGACAATTATGATGGGCCTATTTACAGAATCTTATTGACTAAAACAATCATACCTCCCAAGCATCATGTATCTGATGGAGATGGTGTTGGAAGGAAACTCAAAGGATGCAGCTATAAGAAAACACATACTCTAAGCTAATTTATGCTTTCAAGTAAATCCTAACAGCCGTGTCCAGTGAAGCAGGAAGTCAATGGGCAGGGTAAAAGAGTATGCCACTGGTGCGAATCACGTGACCTGACCTGCCAAAAGAGGGTGAACATGCCCAAAAAGGGGGCATGCTTGTCCAAAGAATTGGAAGGCCAGCCTGGCATGAATGCATGTCATACTGTCTGCCAATCATGCAGGCGTTCCAACTAAGGGTATACTATGCAGGCAGCACCCTGAGCTTGACATAAATGCACCAAATGATGCACCTACTCCAAGCTTTCTAAGGACTGCCCCTAGCACTCACATGTCCACTTGTCATCTTATCTTACAAGCAGGCAGAATTTCCTGGTATAAAGTCAGGGACAGGGAAAAGGGGTGTGTTTTAAAGAAAGGGGACATGTCACAGTGTTAGAGACAAAAGTCTGCATTATCTAAACAAATGTTATTGTCAGCTAGTCCACACAAATTTTGTTCCCATGCATCCCTCTTAAGCTTCCAAACTTAAAGGGACAATATAGTCACCAGAACAACTACAGCTTATTGTATTTGTTCTGGTAAGCAGAATCATTCCCTCCAGGCTTTTTGCAGTAAACACTGTCTTTTCAGAGAAAATAACTCTGATGGCTGCTAGAGGTGCTTCCTGGGGCAGTACTGCCTAGTGTGCAGCACTGCCATTCAGTGTCTCCACCCTCTGCATGCAGACACTAAACTTTCCTCATAGATTCATTTAATCAATGTATCTTCACAAGGAGATGCTGTTTGGCCATGGCTATGGTTGACTTGTGCTGGCTCTGCCCCTAATCTGTTTAGTTGACCGTCTCAGCCAATCCTATGGGGAATCATTGTAATTTGCTCAGACTACCGCTTCTGATGTCAGCAGCTGCAGACTTGAATACAAGTAAGATATTACTATATTTAGGGAGGCAAGAGGGGACCAGGGGGCTAAATGGTGGTCTTAACATAATAAGGATTGTGTTCCTTTAAGCAAGAGTATGCGAAGAGTAGTTAGGGTTGCCACCTTTCTTGGAGGAAAATATACCAGCCTTATTCTTTTGTATAATTAGCTATGTGTGACATCACATGATGTAAATCACAAGGAATGACATAAGAGAAAATTCTGTAAAATCACCAGCAGATATGCAGTTTGGGTTATTCTTTCATTTATTTTATTCTTAATTCACTTAACACTTCAGGTCACTATGGGAACACTAGGTGTTTAATTTTTGTTTCACCTATGTTTTTTTTTTGTCCAAACAGCACTGATGGACGCTATTTAGAAGGGTTACTACTATAGGCAGGCTGATTGATGCTATTCTTCACTATTTGTACTTAGGGACAGCATAGAACACCCTTGAAGGTGGTTTTTTAGGAGTTGCAGGGAATATATTTAGTTTCTTCCACTCCTTCCCTATTGCTGTTCAATTTACACATTTTTTTTCTGACTTAGTAGGGATAGTTTAGTACACCCTTGAAGGTGTTCTCTATAGGTTATTTAGGGTGTACGTTTTACACTGTAGTAATCTAAGTGTACCACCTATATTTTGGTGGATTCTTTATTCGCCTTGCTCCCTAGAGAATCAATCATAACCAATTAAGCCTTAGTATCTACCCCTCTTGATATATTGTATATTTTTCCCCTGGTACTCCATTGATGGCAATTTTTATTATTCTTTGTTTTCTGGAACATAAAGTATTTTGATTTTAATTTAATATCCTATATTTGGAGATGCCCATTGGAAGAACTTTGATACTCCATTGGTTCATTTGTTGTGCCACAAGTATTCAGTGCTGTTGGTTTAGTTACCATTGTATGTATTAAGCTTTTCACTGTTTATTGTATCAAAACCAGCTTCTGAGCCTCATTTTTATGAGTCTCTAATATAGTTACTTTACTTCGGGTACAAGCCCTATCTGGTGGAACTGGAACCACCAAACTGACCTTTGTGTGCCACACACTCTCATATCTTGATGAGGTGCTTGACACACTTCCTCTATTTTATGATACGCAGTTTGATTCTGCCGTATAGATGGATTGCTCCCAGTGTCACACATGTGACCTGTCATTATTCCCTTTTATTCCAGAAGTTTGGTCCTTAAGGGGTTAAAATGGGCCTGGAGCTGCAGCTCCATCAGCCCCTATGTTAATCCAGCCCTGTGTACATTTAATATAAAATATGCTAGAAGAATGTAAATTTACTACAATAGTTATAACTATACAAAACTACAACATATTCCTTACAAAAGCTCAGATTCTAAATTTAACAATCTATTCATATTACTTACAAGACCCCAGCCCTTTGGCATGACAGTATTTTTCCTACACTTGACTTTCTTTGACCAAAGGAGGAGCTTAAGTTAGATCCATTTCTTGTGCCAATGAGAAGGATTAGCATTTTCAGACACAGGAAATGGAGCTGACTTAAGTTCCTTTTCTGGTCAAAGAAGATCAAGCCTAGGAAAAATGCACAAGACAAAGGAGTCCCTACTTCATCTTATGATTTATTATTTTTATTTATTTTTTAAAGAAAACTAGATCAGATTGGGGGGGAAAAAAACAGATCCGGAAAGAGAAACCATAGGAGAAAGATCTGTTTGATGTGAACGTGCCACTTTAAGTCAGAGCTGGTACTACATCCTCATGGGTAGTCATAAGAGCAGAGGCTGAAAAGCTTACATCTAGTTTTTATTCCTAGAGTAGACTAGCCTGTAATATCACTGCCAGAATCACATGGCTTAAGGAATCCTACACACTGCCCCTAGTGGTGGCTCTAAAGCATGCTTTATTTTGTCATACCTTCTGTGATGAATTTATATCTGAAAGCTGCAGACCACATGCCGGCACTCATTGCAAGCACCATTCCTTGTAACCCAACCCAGACTTTCTATGTCTACCAAATCATACTTTCCAAGGCAGGTACTCTGGGCAACTGACTGCCTCTTGTCTAGCTCCACTGAACGAAACAACGAGTAAGAAATACTCACTGGCACAAGGACCAACATTTTGGATGCTAACTCAATGGTTGCATAATCCTACTGGATTGCTACTATTCTTATCCATGGATAAAGCAAACCGATGTAAAAACATCACAAAGCGACATACAAGTAGTCTAAATCCACAACATCTGGAGTGCTGAAGGTTGCCTAACCTTGATTTTCATCTATCATAATGTTGGCAAAGCATCGAGAGATGTAGTCCACAACTTGTTTAAAATGTAAATCTACAGAAACCCAGAGAGACCATGTATTTTATTTTTATTTTTGGCTTGTTTGAGTTCAGTTGACAAACTATTAAACACATGGCATCTCTGGGCTGCCAAGGATTCACACTTCAAACAGGTCATGAATTAAAGCTCCCATGATTCTTTACCTGCATTAAGGGAAATATTGTTGAAGAGCTAGAGTGTAGATTGCCCTAGATATCAGGTTGTCTTAATTTAGAGACCTGTATTGTTTTAGCCTGTATAAACTCTGCCTCACAAACTTGCTCATTGAGTGGTAACCATGTATATAGGACTTCAGGATGTCGGGTTTCATGGAAAGCAGTCGAATGCCCAAGGACATCATAGCCTGGTTCGTGGATGGTCTCCTTACAGGAACACCTGGGATGAGCAGCTTTATCCTGCCTGGAAAGCTGGAGATGCCAGATGGGAAAACTGCTGGAGAGGTAAACCAGCCTTATACTGACCCATCTATTGATAATCGTAGTAAATGGCTAGTTGGTCCAGTCAAAGGGATCACTCACTCACTCACAAACTGCCAACAGATCAACCCCACAAGAGTCAATGAATCTAGTAAGAGGAAAGTTATTTTAGAAATACACCTGATGTAATCCATGGCATGCCCTCTACACTCTGCGCAAAATGATCAGTGGCTTGTGGTTCTCAGGGGCAACTGTAAAGCATATTTTTTTTTTTCTCAAGCTGTCCATAGTTGATGGGTTTTTTATTCTCATTTTTCTGATGGGTTTTTTACCATAGACTTTACAAACTTCTTTTTAGGGCTACTTCCTAATTGGAGCATGTCTAAGATTCTTACAATGTGACTTTCTTCTGTAGGTGGCAAGGTGGAGGCTCTCTTGACCAGTGACAGCCCAGCGCTGATAGGGTCAAACATTACCTTTGCTGTGACTCTGCGGTTTCCCAGATGCCAAAAAGAGAATGATGATGGTGACATAGTGTATGATAGAAAATGTAGAAATGGTACGTAGGGTTTAGCATAGGAGTGTTTTAATAAGGTGGCTTGTATCACTATTTGTATCTTTAACATCCTTTATATATTAGACTCTTTTAGCTACCAAGATCAGTATGTTTACAACTGGACCAAATGGGTAGATGACTGCAATGAAGGAAACTGCACCTTCATCAATAAGTTTCCTGATGGACGCCCTTTCCCTCCTCACCCTGACTGGAGGAGGAGGAACTTTGTGTATATCTTCCAGACCCTGGGTAAGGCCTAATGTAGACATAATGCTTCTCTTTGCGTTACCTACTAGTGTTGGTGGTAATGTAGTATGGGGTTAAGGGTAGGACATGTCACTGTGACTAGCTCGCTCTGTAGAACAAGGTGGCAGCTATTTCAACTAACATAACGGCAGCCTGTAAGCTCTTGCAGACTGGGACACAATGTGCTGCTCAGCCTGGGTAGTGAGCCCCCAGACTACAGATGTAATCTATGCATTACTAGTTCAGTCAGCTCCTGTAATGGAGTAGTACAGGATTCAAAAACCTGATTTGTCCATTAAAGTTAGGGGTAGATCATATATATGTATTGCCATGCACACAAACACGTTATATTGCTAATATGAAAAATTAAAAGGAATGTGGATCAAGGACAAGTCTGAGATGCACGTTAAAGAGTCCTCAGTTATACAGGAATTAAAAACACTTATTTGTAAACATTAAAGATACGAAAGATAAAAAATTACACTCCACGTCTAAATTGAGGAGAGCAATGAGGTTTGGTTACTCTGGGGGGTGAGGAGGGGAGGATATAGATATCCAAATATAAAGCTTAAATAATGGATATTGTAAGAGTAGAATATAACCTCTAGAGTAAGTGGCTATATAGGTAGAAATTAACTCATATATGCTTGCGATGGGTTATTCCCACAGTGGTAAATTGTAGATCTACCCACTAAGCACAGAACACAATCTGCTATATTCGATATATACTGTGGATTGCTGAGGATTATCACAGTGGTATCCACGAACCAGCGGGAGAGCCCTCAGGCGCTATGAGAGAACGACACAAGACTTGTCAACCTATCAGATATCACTCTCACCAGAACAGTGAGGTACTTATGAAGGGCTTGTCACTTGTCCCAACTCCTCTGTCCAGCCACTCTGAATGGATAAAAGACCTTTAATCTTCTTGGGATAAGGCTCGCTCTCCATGAGTTATTTAAGGTAAGAGATGAGAAAAAGGCAAAGGAATTGGGTTTTGATGAAGAATATCAATGTCTTCAAGATCTTGTGTCCCACCTGGAGAGTAATGATAATTGCTCCCCCATACCATACACAGACCTGTCCTAAAAGCAGGTTTACCCCTAATTTCCATGATAAAAAAAAAAAAATTGATATGTTCATGGAATCAACCACTAAAACAATCAAGACACTTACAGTGACACCTAGGGATAACCTAACAAATGGAAGGCTCTGTGTGACCTAAGAAATAACTAGCAAGTTACTATCAAATCAGCAGACAAAGGCAGCAACATTGTCTTAATGAACAGACATTATGTCCAGATGGCAGAGTTAATACTCAGTGATACAAATACATTTACAATACTCCCTTCTGACCCCTCGCCCAAATTTATGCTGGCATTTAAATCCCTGTTGGATAAGGCATATAATCAGGGGTTACTTACCAAAGAGGAATATGGTAGCATTTTTGTCAGAAATCCCACAATTTCCTCTTTTATTGTCTCCACAAAGTACATAAGCAATACAAGACACTCGCAGCTAGGCAGATGGTATCCGGGTCTAATAATTTTATAAGCAGGGGGAGCATCTATGTATACAAGATTCTATGTCCATACATGGAAAAACTACCCTCTTACTTTAGATACCCTGGAATGCATTAAAAGTACCACAGGGGGCTATACTCTGTAGCCTTGATGTTGAGGCTCTACACCCCATTCCATCGGCATAGATCATGTGGGATCTTTTCTGGAGGCAAGGGGATCAGAACATCTCTGCCATATGTCCTTTGTTCTTGAGTTATTACGTCTCATCCTAAATTTTTTTTCTCTACAGTAAGTTTTATCACCAGGTGCAGGGGACAACTATGGGGATAATTGAAATAAATAGTACTACCTAGTTAGAAACCCCAACTTGGAGTACCAAAGAGTGGGTGAATGAGGTGGCAAAAGGGCATAACCCTATAGTGGATACAAAAAAAAAGAGCAAAAGTGGAGGATAGATCGCCTCGTGAAAAGACCGGGCTGATCACCTCCACGCCACCTCAAAACAGCGTCTCAAAAATAATAAACAAATTTATTGAAAAAGTCTTAATAAAATCAAGGGGAAAAACACATCTATCCCTAGATGGAATAAATAACTAGAGCCCAATATATACAGAGTATGGCTAGTATATAAACATGTAAATATATTGTGGTATAGCAAGTACCTATAGATAGTGTAATACACATAAATATACAGAAAAGCCATAGACTGTACATAGCAAGCTCAATATAGAATAGGGCTAAATTATAGATGCAATATTATAATCAATATCTATGCACAAGAGTGAAAAATGTAGTAATACATATATAAAGAGCCATAAATTCTGTACTAAAAAACTAATTGCTGCAGAGTGTGGCTAGATAGACCATATCAGAATGTGGCAAAATCGTAGTATAGTGAGACAATAAGTCGCAGTAAAAAGCCACAATAATAGCCATACACTCTGCTACTGTACCTACAGGGTAAATTTGAAATCGAAAGGATAGAGGAGGGCATAAATAGAAGAGGGAAAATACAGCAGAAAGACCTGATAGTAAATCTACATAAGGTCTAAATATCTAAACCCGATAAACAGCCCACCTATCACTAAATAAGGTGACCAGAGCTATAAACACGCTCAGTGTCACTAAACCATACTGTAGGAGACAAAGAAAAAACAAAATAAACTAAATTAAATAAAGTAACCCATAGCCCAACGCGCGTTTCGGTGGATTAACCACCTTTCTCAAGGGCACAAAGTAAAGTAAAGCAAACGGAACAAACCCCCCCTTACTCCATTAAAAGCGTTAGTAATACCTCACCTAATTCGTCCGTGTGTCTCAAAGGAGGAGGGACAAAACAGTAGCCACTCCTGTCGGAAGTCCGTGCGCATATCTATCCACGCGCAGGCGCGCCGACTTGGTGTCAGGCTAGCTGTCAAGTAAAACTGCGCATGGCAAAACGCGCATGCGCACAGCATGAGACCCGTTACCAGGGTATCCGTCCGTGCGCATGCGCGAATATGTACACCGTGAACACGGCGTACATAATGTAATACATATGCCGGTAACAAGTCCCAAAAGAGAAAAGTGCTACATTAGTTGCACATAGTAGTGTTCAAAGATAAGGAGTAGGAAGGGTAGAGAATTTGGAATATATATAGTTAGATAGATAAACAAATCAAAACATCAAAGAGAAGAAATGTTGCGTTCCCATCATATTTACAATAAATCAAAAACATACATTATATAGAGACAAAAGAGTGGTATTTTAAATACAAATAACTAATGAAATAATAAGCATATATACACAACTCTATTCCTTATCCAGTAAAGAATAGACAGCAGAATCCCTATCAACCTATAGATATTCCTATGTATAGTCTACAAATATATTGGATTGGTGCAGGGAAATGTATAAGTATATATACATAAAGAAAATACAAACATGTATAAAGAGAGAACGATTATATACAGTATATTTTTCCCAAAGGAGGCATTCCGTGAGCAGCGGATCATATGAAAGGGGCAAAAGAAAAGCCCTCATTAAGACCTAGAGGTTGGAGTGTCTTAAGTAGGTATATCCATCTTGACTCTCTCTGTCTTAATAATTTGTCATAATCACCATGTCTCAGAGTCCACTTAACCAGCTCCAAACCACAAAACTTAAGATTATTAGAGTCCCCCTGATGATGGTCTTTGAGATGTCTCGAGGCGATTTCTAGGAGATCTTACGTGCTCCATAATCCTGTCTTTAAAGGCCCTGAAGGCTTTCCCCACATATTTCTGTCCACATGTGCAGGATAGTAGATATACAAGGCCCTTCGTGTTAGTTAAAGAAGCTTTTGACTTGGAAAGAACTGCACCCTTGACTGTCATTAACGGTCTTAGAGTCCCTAAGAATAAATTTACAGGCTATGCATCTACCACACCCATATGAACCAGTTGGAGGGGTACCAAGCCAAGTGGCACGTTGTTGTGGTTTCATGGAGAAATGGCTAGGGACCAGTATATCACGAATGTTCCGTCCGCGTCTGGCGGTAATATTAACATGTGAGCTTAAAGTATCCTTAAGATGCACATCATTGAGCAGGATGGGCCAGAACCGTTCAAGTGATTTCCGAACTTCTGGCCATCCCACATCAAATGTTGCTATCATGCGAATATTTCCAATGTCCTGATTACTGTCCTTATTTGGACGGTCACATAGTAACTCGTTCCTCTCTGTCTGGAGTGCTCTCTTATATGCCCTTTTTAGACAACGGTTCGGGTAGCCTTTCTCCTTGAAGTGTTGCCGGAGTTGTTTCGCCTTAATTATAAAGTCCTGGGTGTCACTACAATTTCTCGGGAGGCGAAGGTATTGGCCTACCGGTATGCCCTGTTTGAGGGGACGCGGATGATGGCTGGTCCAGTGTAGAAGGGAATTAGTTGCTGTAGGTTTACGGAACAGCGTAGAGTGGAATGTACCATCTTCACTGATGCTAATGGTGACCTCAAGAAAATTTTATAGAGCGTCCTCCGAATTCAGATGTGAATCGGAGGTTTTCCTCATTTTGATTGAAAAGTGTCACCATATCCTGGAAATCCCCAGGGGTACCTTGCCAGACGATCAAAATATCGTCAATATAACTACCCCACCACAGGACCTTAGATAGATGTTCACTTAACTTATCTGAGTGACGTACCTGTTCTTCCCACCATTCCAGGTGGAGGTTTGCATATGAGGGGGCACAAGCCGTCCCCATAGCAGTACCCCTCACCTGGTGGTAAAACCGGTTATTAAACAGGAAATAATTATGTGATAAGATAAACTTGAGAAGGCGTAAGAGGAAAATCGTATAGGGATCATCCCTTGGGACTCTTTGAGTAAGAAAAAAAACTCACATGTTCAATACCTCTGTCATGAGGTATAGATGAGTATAAGGATTCAACGTCCAGACTGCATAATTGAGCGGTGGAGGAAACCTTACGGTTAGCCAATTTAAGTGCCTGTTTGGTGTCCCTAATGTATGAAGGTAAAGTTTCGACAAAGGGTCTTAAGACTTTATCAATATACAGACTACCATTTTGGGTAAGATTTATCCACACCAGAAACTATAGGGCGCCCCGGGGGGGTCTCTAGATTCTTATGGATCTTTGGCAGGCAGTAGAAGGTTGCTATCTTAGGATGACGAGTGAGAATAAAGTCAAACTCGTCACCCGACAGCAACCCCCCACTGCGGCCCTCATCCAAGATCTCTCTGTACATAGAGAGAAAGGCATTAGTGGGATCTTGCTTAAGGACTATATATGTCTCAGTGTCTTTTAGAACTTGTTCCGCCATTTCAAGGTACTTTTCCACATCCATCACAACGATATTTCCCCCCTTATCGGCGGGTTTGATGATAATATCACTATCATCTTGTAAAGTTTTTAAAGCACGTTGTTCCCGTCTTAGGAGATTATCACGTGAATGTATGCGGAGAGATTTAAGGTAAATTTTTTTCTATTTCTGTTTTAGCTGCTTCCAAGAAAAGCTCAATATTCCTATAGCTTGAAAAATTTGGTGTGAAGCGACTCTTAGATTTTAAACCTGTGCGATTTGGTATAATATTAGTCATTTTCATCCAATAAAGCTAGCAGGTTAGTGAGACATTGAAAATCACTTGATGCAAGTCCCAGATCTTTTGCCTTTCTTTCGTTTTGTATAGAGTGAAATTTATATAATGCCAGTTTCCTCACAAAGAGATTGAGATCACTTATCCACCCAATTGTCAAATTGGACAACTATGGGGACTCCATGTGCCCCAGCTTACGCCAACCTGCACCTTGGTTGGTGGGAAAGGGATGTTGTCCACTCAGATCACCAAAAGTTATGCATGGACCACGTCTTTCTATGGAAACCTATGTTCTCATTATCTGGACAGGCACGAAGGTGCGTGGTTTTTCTGAGTTGGTGGAGGCCCTTAATGTAAATGACCTCAATTTAAAACTGACCATGGAGATGGGAACACCATCACTTAACTTTCTTAATTGCACATTTGATATCTGGCTTTTTTTTTTAACGTATAAATACCACCTTGTACCGCAAACCAACCTCAACGAAAAACATGCTGAGATGGAAAAGCTATCATCCGACTCCTCTCCAGAGGGCATCCCAGTAGGACAGTATTTGAGGTTATGGAGAAACCTCCTTGGAGGATTTCCAACTAAGGCAAAGATTTGAGGATAGGGGGTACCCAAATAGGTGCCTTAAACAAGAATACCAAAGGGCCCTTCTATGTGATCGTGATGCCCTGTTAATTAAGTGAAACACAATGCCCAACGAAGATAATCAGATGTATCGCAAACTTTTGATGCTAGTTGGGAAATGGCAAAAAGGATGCTGGGAAAGTTCTGGCCACTCTTGACACAAGACCCACATTTGAAAGGCATAATTTCCCCACGGGTCTCTATCACCGCCAGAAGGGGGAAAAAAATCTAAAGGAGATCCTGGTACCTAGCTATTTTTCAATATCTAATCCTAGAAGAAAGAGCTGAATTACAGTACAGGGCACATATCAATGTGGACAATGTGTAACCTGTCGGTATATGGCAAAAGGGTCCAAGATCTTAACCGACTCTGGAATCTTGACAGTACCAGAAAATAGTTTTTCAACTGCAACACATCTGGAGTAGTCTACCTTCTGACTTGTAAATGCGGCATGTTGTATGTGGGGAAGACCATACACCCTCTAAAGAGACGAGTAATGGAACACATCCACCCCTTGTCACCCCTTCAGCAACCGGGGATTGGGGGGTGGGAGAAGAGGGGACCTGCAGCACTGGAGTTTCCCTTTAAGGTTGTGTGTGGTGTGTTTTTTGACTGGCAATTAGGAAATAGTAGGAATGCTGCTGAGGACAGCACCTGACAGATGGGGTTCCGTGCTCTGTAGCAAACTGTATACTTTTCCTTTTGGATACACTGTATCAACATTCATATGTACCTACTAGGAACAAGCTATCAAACCCATAGCTGACAGGCAACAATGGAAACAATAGGGTTTCTGCTGAGGATTTTATCTAACTAGGCAGATTATGTTCTGTGCTTAGTGGGTAGACCTACAATTTACCACCATGGTAATAACCCATCGCATGCATATATGGGTTAATTTCTACCTATATAACTTACTCTAGAGGGTATATTCTACTCTTACAATATCCATTATTTAAGCTTTATATTTGGATATCTATATCCTCCACTCACAGATTAACCGACCCTCAATTTAGACATGGAGTGTGTGTGGTAGTAAAAAAAAAAAAAAAATTTCGTATCTTTTAGGTTTACAAATAAGTGTCTAATTCCTGTATAACTCTGAGTACTCTAACGTGCATCTCAGACTTCTTTGTCCTTGATCCATTCCTTTTTCTTTTGTTCTAATTGGGGTTACCCCCTGTCTAGATATCCTCAGGACACACTAGAACTCCCTCCCCCCTTAGCTAGAGGTATATTTCATTTTGTAATATGAAAAATTTAAAGACTCAATCAGAACATTATCTGTCATGACTGTGTGGGGTGTGTTTTTTGTTGTGGTGTGTGGTTTTTTTTTTTGTCCCCCTTTTACCCACCCCACAAACCTTCAATTTACAAATGTCTAAATCTTGGTTGGCAACCCTCCCCCTTCCTTAATCTTAACTGCTGTTCAATTCATTCTTACCCATTGCCTAACTTCACAGATCAGTTCTATTCATTGACTGGGAGATCGTCTGCAGTCCTATCCATCAATACAACAAATATCACCGCTGGCACACAGATGATGGAAGTGTCTGTGTATAGAAGGGATCACAGACGGCATTATCCAGTTGCTAAAGCAAGTGCAATGTACATTGTGACAGGTAACTACTAAGCTGATCTTGGTGATCCTAGGTTACATGTTCTGGTATTGTCTCTGGTCTAGAAATGTATTCCAATAACTAGTAGTGTGACTGACTGTGCTAGTTTAGAACTTGCAGCAGTAACCTGTTTGTCTTTACCACTAATCCAAAGGCCCAAACTCTGCCCCGAATTGTCACTGCATCCTCCTAAATGTCTTGTGTCTTAGGAGTTCTACCTGTTGTGAATTAAAAAAATAATCCATATTCTGTCAATCCTAGCTTAATTGTATGCATTATTTTAATGTAAATATCCTTTCCTTTTTAGAACAAATCCCTCTTTATGTGAACATTTCCCAGAAGAATGATCGCAATTCCTCAGACAAGATCTTTATTAAGGATTCTCCTATAACATTTGATGTCAAGCTTCATGATCCAAGTCACTACCTTGCCAAAGCAGCTGTGTCCTTCAACTGGACATTCGGGGATGGAAGTGGGTCCTTTGTTTCCAATAATCCCCTTTCTAGTCACACTTATACTCTGTTGGGAAACTTCAGCCTTAATCTGACTGTGAAAGCTGCCATTCCTGGACCCTGCAAACCAGTTACACCCACTACTTTCATCCCTACAACCTATACTTCTTCTACTACCACAGCTCCAGTGACCAGCAATAGCACAGGTACAGAACAGAAATATTTGTCTGTTTTGTATTAATGGCAATCAAGCTTATGTTACAAGGGCTGAAATCCATATTACTTGAAATGTATTAGAATGTCAACTGACTCTTCTTTGATGTTTACATATTTATAAAGATTCCCTTGTGCTGGACTACTTCTGTAGACCCCACTTTTGATGGTTTGTCATGCAATATACCAAACATGTGACACAAAGTAAAATTCTTCACTCCTCAACAGGCAACTCTACCGACCTTCCCTTCACTGAAACTGCATTTGTGACAACTGAAGGTTCCAACGTTACTACTGCTCCTACTACTGAAACTACTACACACATACAAACCACTCCAGCTGCTGGATGTTTCATTGATCGTTATGGCTATTACAAAGCAAACATTAGAATTGTGGGTAAGTAAATGGTTAATTTTTTTTTTTTTTAAATTGTCGTTCTGTTGATCAGTCATGACCTTAGACATTTTACATCCCTATTTAATAGGGACACTGGTGTCTGGATTTGTAATGTTCCTTACCGGTTTTGGTATAAATGATGACTTGCAACAGTAAGCATTAATGCTGAAGTTAAAATGCTGTTGCAGCACTGGCTCGAGCTCTGCCTCCACACCTCATCAGCTGGTGGGGGAGACCTAATACGCATGCATGACAATGGCTGCGCTCGCATTCTCTCCATAGGAAAGAATGTAAAACGTGTGGTGTGGTTTGTTTTTGATGCTGGATGCCGTCATGCATAGCATGAGGATGTCCAGCATCAGCTAGGTGACCAAAAGTTGTAGCATAACCTGACCATCCCTCTAGTGATGTCTGGTAGACAGCCACTGTAGGTTGAGTTAAGCCTCAAAGGTAATCATTGCAGTTTCTCAAGACCTGCAGTAATTGCCGATGTGGGACTATTCACCCAGACCAATGAGCTGAAGTGATCTGGGTGCCTAGTGTCCTCTAAGTGAGCAAAGTGCTAAGACAAATCTCTTGTGAATTCTGAGGAAAGTGCTGCTTTCACATCCTCTATGTGAGTGGAGTTTAAGATGATTCAGGAAGTCTGTTGTGAGTTAATGTCGTTGGTTGGGGTGTAGTTGTATAAACTCTCAATATATTGAGAAAAACTCTCCAATTTTGCCAGAAACTCTGATTAGACCTTCTGGGGTACAAAATTTTATATATATATTCAGCTTTATTTTCCTATTCGTAAAGAAGCTGTGTCTGCATACTAGAAAAATATAATTGCATAAAACCTTATTTTGCAGATGGTATTGTGGAGGTGAATATTGTCGAAATGACAAATGTGTCTCCATCTGAAGCTCAAAAGTCTTCTATAGACTTTGTAGTGGCTTGCCAAGGAAGGTAATGTTGAAATGAACTGATGTATATGGGGAGAGGGTTGGTCTTAAAATCTGAAGCTGTAACGCCTATTTGCCCCAATAGTATACCCACGGATGCCTGCACCATAATCTCGGACTCCACATGCACAATTCCACAAAACGAAGTCTGTGATGAGGTAGTGACTACTGATGAATGTTTGGTGACTCTAAGAAGAGCCTTTACGGGACCAGGAACCTATTGTGTGAATATTACACTGGGTGATGATGCAAGCCTGGCTCTTGCAAGTACCCTTGTTTCTGTGAGTGAAGGTGAGTAAAGCCACTTGGTGCACATGAATGTGAGGACTTTCAGATGCAGAACTGAAAATGGTTGGTTGGCCTGAGACCTTTCCTAGTTTTGCGGTCTAGGATATGGACTCTTGTGCTCTAGGGTTGAGTTGGTGAATGTAGATCATTCAGAGCAGTTGCCAACTAAACCTAATGTAACTTGGTGTACACTCTGCATTAAATATGCATTACTGTGGTGTAGTTGCCTAGACCCCAGATATTATGGCAAAAGATCTCAAATGGGTACACTCAAAACACTAGAGGTGATTCTCAAACAAATCCTTGCATCACACAATGGTCCATATCGTAACCCTTTAGCATATCAAATTGGAGAGCTTACTTTTAAACTAACCACACCATGTATTCCTAATTTTTAGCAGTCGGCACACCTGTGCCAGTAAAAGAAATCCTTATTTACCTGGGCTTGGTGGCTGTTATTATTGTAGCTGTTGGTGTCCTCTTGTCCAAGTAAGTAGTGGAACCTGTGTCTGCATAACATAACTCTAAAACTGTAGTGTTAATCTACTAGTGTCTTATGACACATAGAAGAATCAGTCCTTCTAATACATTTTATTTATTTTTTACACAGGAAATGTAAAGGCTACAATTGCAATGGTAAGCTGTATCAAGACATTACCAATGAAGGATTAAATGTGACTTACAATCAAATAAAATTGAGTCTTTTAAAAAATGATGAGCACCACCCCCTTCTGAAGAACAAGGCTGGTGTCATATAATCTGTAATGGGTAGAATGATGGTCTGTATATGGCGTTCTTAAATAAATTGCTTTAATTCCTACTGTGGATAATTCTCTAACCTTGACTAACTTTACTACTGATATTCAGTGGTTAATTGTCACATTCGAGATGTTCTTAGATTGACTTGATGGTGAACCCTGCTCAGTTCCTGTAGAAAACATGGCTCCTAAAATGATGCTGTAGAGTTTTCTGCATAGTCCACTTCTAGGGATACACATGTTTTCCATTTGAACAAAGCCCCACTATGACCTCGTCAGGTAAAGCTTATTCCTACCTTGTTAGGCTGGCATAGTAATGGTTTGCAGCTACATCTTTTCTACCAGAACTTTGTTTTGTACTGCTAAGTGGTCACCAGACTGCAACTAGAATGTTTTATACATAATGGACCTTAAAGCGTCATGCCAAACTTACCTTTCCTCAATCTCTTCCTCTTCTCCCCCTCTCTCAGGATGTTGTTCTTTTCTTCCTGTCTTCTTTAGTTTTCTTTAAAGGACCACTCTAGGCACCCAGACCACTTCAGCTTAATGAAGTGGTCTGGGTGCCTGGTCCAGCTAGGGTTAACCCATTTTTTTTCATAAACATAGCAGTTTCAGAGAAACTGCTATGTTTATGAATGGGTTAAGCCTTCCCCCTAATCCTCTCGTGGCTGTCTCATTGACAGCCACTAGAGGCGCTTGCGTGCTTCTCACTGTGATTTTCAGTGAGAGCACGCAAGCGTCCATAGGAAAGGATTATGAATGCTTTCCTATGTGACCGGCTGAATGCGCGCAGCTCTTGCCGCGCGTACGCATTCAGCCGACGGGGAGGAGGAGAGCTCTCCGCCCAGCGCTGGAAAAAGGGAAGTTTTTGCCCCTTACAGAGTTGGGCGGGAGGGGGACCCTGAGGGTGGGGGCACCCTCAGGGCACTATAGTGCCAGGAAAACGAGTGTTTTCCTGGCACTATAGTGGTCCTTTAAAATCATAAGACAAAGTAGGGACTCTTTGCCTTATGGAGGATTCCTTCGCTTGACCAGCTCTGACCAGCAGAGGAGCAAAGTGTGCTTCATTTCCGCTGGTCAGAGCAATTTTCCCATGTTCCTTACCTTTCCTCTGTGTTCCCGCGATGCTTCCTGTCACGTTACACTAAACTGCCGAATTGCGTTCTAACTGAATGAGAACAGTATGTTCGTTTCTTTTAGAACGCAATTCGGCATTTTATTCGGATCGGAATTTCATTCTAATGAATGAAACTCCGATCCTATTCATTGCCGCGGCTGCATCTTGCAGCCGCTTAGTAGATAACTCCCTAATTCCCACGGTATCAGGGAGTTATCTACTGAAAGACCTAAATTGGAATTTCAGCCACATTTACTAATGCTAAGTAAAGATTACTTAGTATTGGTAAATTAAATGCCCCTACTTGCTATATCGCGAGTAGGGGCATGTGTAGTGAGCAGCTTATAGCTGCTCACTGTAAAAAAAATAAAAATAAAATAAAACTAATAATAACCCCCCCATGCCCGTGGGGGCCCTAAATAAAGATATGGGGGGAACTTCTGTCCCCCCCCCCCCCCACCCCTGCGCGGTGGGTGGGGGCCCTAAATGAAACCCCAATCAAGGTGACTAGGGGTCCCAAGCCCCTAGTCAACCCCCACCCAAAAGGCTTTATAAGCCTTGACCCGCCCTGCGGAGCTCAGTCTGCGGCGTGCCCTCGAAGGGCAAACATGGATTAATTTTTTTTATTTTTTAGTGCGACGGTATAATGGATTTTTATTTGGCCTTTTTGGGGGCTGAAGAAAGAAGATTTTAGAAAAAAGAAGACGTCAAATGGTAAGTTTAATTTTTTTTTTTTTACAGTTTAGTTATTTTATTCCCCCCTCACTATTTTTAGGGTGAGGGGGGTAGGTAGGGGATAGGTTTTTTTTTGGTGACTAGGGGCTTGGGACCCCTAGTTGATTGGAGGGGGGGGGGTGTTTCATTTAGGGCCCCCACCCACTCAGGGGTGGGGGCCGGGGGGGAGGACAGTAGGTCCCCCCCCCTCATTATCTTCATGGCCCCCACCCGCCGCTCAGGGTGGGGAGGACAATAGGTCCGCCCCCCCTTATTGTAATTTATGTCTTTTTTTTTTCAACAGTGAGCAGCCACAGGCTGCTCACTGTTTAGTAGACATGCCCCTACTCGCGGTATAGCGAGTAGGGGCATTTGGGAGATTTTAATCTCCCTTGTGCTATTATGGGGGTCATATTGACACCCATAGAGTGAGAGGGGGACCTGGGCTGGGCTTATGAAGTGGTGGGGAGCAATGCTGTCCCAGTTCGTCCAATGTCTGTATGGCTGGACAGGGATCATGTCCTGTCCCATCAGATGAATTGCCTCTGGTGAGGACAAGAGGAAGATTAAGTGATGCACACAGTTTAACTGCTCCTGCATCTAGGCTACCAATCATAGGAGGTGAGTATTGTGCAAATACCTCCTTAAACACCCCTTGCTCAATCTAAATGTAACCCCCTCTTCGTACCCTTTCATTAGTCCCTAATTTAAGCACTCCAAGATTAATCCCAATACTTATAAACAAACCTATTCCACAACTCTGAACACTTCTAAAGCTTTTAATTCTAACATTAAATCCTCTTAATTAATCTGACATTTTAGCACCTCTCAAACCTTTAAGGGACACCATATAGTCACCAGAACAGCTTAACCCCTTAAGGACACATGATGGAAATATTCCGTCATGATTCCCTTTTTATTTCAAAAGTTGTCCTTAAGGGGTTAATGTAGGTGTTTTAGTGAGTAGTTAGTCCCTGCAGGCTTTTGACAGTCACCAGGCTTTTTAGTGTGGTACACTACAGCCGAAGGACAGTCCCATGGCCCCTGGATGTGCTGCAGTGTGAGGCAGGACATTCAGTGTCTCCACACTCTGCATGGAGATACTAGGGATGCCTCTCTAGGAGGAGATGCTGATTGGCCAGGGTAACAATCTCTGCCAAGGAGGTGGGCCAGACGTGATCAGAACTAACGATCTCAAACAATTCAATGCTTTACTATGGGAAAGTGTTTTGCTTTGGTTAAGATCCCTTCTGTGTCAGCCAAGGAGGCAGATTGGGCGAAAGCCAGTGGACTGGAACAAAGCTAATATTTGACTAGATTTAGTGTTTGTGTTCCTGACCCTAGTATTCCTTTAAAATTCCTCTAGCAATGATACAATGGCTTTTTTTTTGTGTAACTGTTAATGAGTTGGGTGAATGTGTGGTAGTAATAGGTAAATATAATGGTTCCTGCAGCTATACTAGACACATGCAATTCATTTGTTCCAAATATAATTTCGTAAGTACCAAACTGATTGCTGAAGTGCTTTGGATGCCTGAAAAGTGGCAAAACCAGAGACGGAGGGAAAACTAAGGCAATGATGATCAGAATCTAACCCTACCCCTAGTGGGTTAGCAAAGTGCCGAACCAAATTTGTTTTTGCCCATACACATCCCGAGCGAGCACTATAAAAGTTACCTTTCAAACATTTGTCACATGCAGAGTGGATATGCACCTGAAATGATCAGAATTGAATCATTTTCAAATGGTCTATATTTGTTCCCATAACACTACACACCAGAGAACTGAACCACATCTATACTGTGCCCTAATGCCAGATAGCTGTGGCTACAACTGGCTCATAAACCTACCTGCTTATGAGGTCCAGAAATGTACAAAAAGGGCGCATGGCCTGGCTATCCAGATGGCCAGACGTAGTTTTGAGCAGCTCTTTGGCTTAACTATGACAAGCATGATTTTTGTTACCCTGCATGCAAATTAAGCTGGGTGATCTGCATTTGCCCTAGACCCATGTGACTTTTCAAAAACAACAAAGGGTGTGTAGAATGAGAAACCAAACCCACCCACTAACGATGCTGCACTCAAAGTTAGAATGTCTTAAACATCAAAAGATATGTTCATACTGAAGTCAAGTAGTTAGTGGGGTAAATTCTGATGCTAGCCTTTCCCAAACAGAAAATATCTCACGGGACAAGTATTGTAATCCACACTACAAATAAAAATGAGGAAAGTACTGAAAGTGCATTTATTGAGATTAAAAGTAGCAACAATGTATGGCATTAAATAGTCATGGCAGTGTTCAAAATCCTGACTATGCAAACAGCATATAGTTGTTAGAGATGATATAAGCTTCCAGGCAGAAGAAATATACTTGCACAAATGGGAACACTTGACAAAAAAAATAACGAAAGTATTCATGAATCCTGAATATACAAGCAGGTGTGATTAATAGTGCAAATGGCATATATAGTCTTATAGCAGTTTTTACAAAAGTATTCTTTTAGGATTCTGGTATCTTTCTGTTCTCTCAAACGCCTAATTATTCCCACCAATTTGTCAGTATGTTTATGTGAAATCCCCATATATAACTTCAAATCTCCACTGTTGCTTGCTTTTATATGTATGTATGTATATAAATTTATTTTATAAACTGCCATGTGATTTGCCTCAACTTTTCTGGGTTTTATATCTTCGTTTAGCCTTCTATCGCTTTCAATTCCCTCCACCATGCATATAGTGCTTGTTTCACTTTTTCTATAATCTCTTACCTCTAGTCATATATATTCAATATGTCTTTCATGTAATTTTAATGGCACTTAAATTTAATGTGGTTGACACGTTATTTGTGTCTATTTTACTTTTATCGTGATTAATTCTGGAGCTCTAAGTTTTAAGAGATTAGGTTCATCTGTATGTTTTTGTTTGTTTTTTTTATCTATACCCTATTAGTATATTTGGCATTACACCAGGACAAAGGCATGGTAAATGTTGGCACATCGGTCTGTCAATTTATAGTATACGGTTTCGAATGTTTTGGTAAGCAATCTTGTTCTTACCAATTTTAATTTCCTGGGTTTTGAACAGTTTATAGTTATGGGTTAATTTTATTTTAGTTTTTTTTATTTATTTTTTGTGGATTCAGTTTGGGGCTATTATACATTTATTTGTCCCCATGATATAAGGGAATTCATTTAATCAATCAGTGAAGTTGGGAACTACATAAGTAGAAGTCATCGTTGTGGATCCATTTACTGGCATACACTCCTTCATTCATATAGTTTACCCCTGGACTGAATATATTATTTTTATCTGCTTTGGGTCTTATTCCCTAAGCAGTGTTTTTGATTTTTTTTTTTTTTTTTACGGAATGCAATTTGATACTGGTAAAGACAATTGGTGAATATTCAATTCATGCAGATGGGAATTATTTGACTATGAACCAATAGATGTATTTATCCAACTGGTGTTTGTACCTCTGTTATAACAATCTGTTTCAGTACTTCCTTCCTGTTCACCTTTTGCTTATTACTTTTTATTTTTAATCTTATTCTATAAGTAGGGGTTTATTTACCTTTTGGTTAGCAGTAGAATCAGAGGCATAACTAGAAAACACAGGGCCCCAGTGCGAAAAGTGGCCTGGGGCCCCTTATGCATCTTACCCTGACACTCCATTTGTATAACACACACACCAACAGAAAGACACACATGCAGATGCACATACACTGAATGACACTCATACAGATACATAGGGGCACACACTGACACATATGCAGACGAACAGATATACAGACACACTTAATGACAAACATTCAGATACACATACAGACTCAGATGCACGTGCACACACGTAAACATAAACAAGTCACCCTTGTGTTTCCTACCTTTTTAGGTGCAGGAGGGTGAGCTCTGACTGGTCCAGGGGTTGTCTCATGCTGATGGGAGTCAGAGTTCCAACTCTGACTCCTTCCTCTCATCCTTGGCAGTCTCCTCCTGCATGGCGTTCTGTTAGCTGGGAGGAAATGACTGCTTCCTCCCAGCTCTGCCATCATCACTGGAGCCCGGTCACATTCTTAAAGTGCTGACCAGGCCCCAGGAAATCCATTGACAAGTGCATAGGCCACCTGATGGGCCCTACTACAATCCCAGTGGGCAACCAGGACATAGGGGTGGCAGGGCAACAGTGGTACTTCTGCCAGTGAGTAGAACCCTCAATATATGTGACTTGAATAAGAAATAATTACACTGTAATTAATTGTATAATATAAGTTTAATTTGTGGTTTGAATAATAAAACATTGTACAGAAGCAATTAAATAATGACCTATTTATTGGTACCCAATTTGGACTTTGAGGTGTGTGGTTTGGTTTTGTTTTTTTTGTTGTTTTTTTTTGTCTAAGGAGTTTTTTTTTTTTTTTTTTAATTTGCAACTTTAGGAGAAAGATGACCGTTCACAGATGAGGGTGGTCCGAATTACAAGGAGCCTCACTTTGAGTGGACCCCTCCTATATAGCTCCAGAATTTCTCATGATCGTTTATGTTGATAAAGCACCAGGTCGGTGTGAAATGCATCCAGGGTACTTGCATTTTCTTTTTCGCGTGTAGGTGGTCTCTCCTCAGTCTGGCAGTAGCAGGTACTGCAACCACTTCGATACTTCTATCATCAAGAGTTCGTATTTTTGCAAGTATATTTCTTTTGCTTGGCAGCCTGTATCATCTTTTGACAACTATATGCCATTTGCAGTATTCATTACACCTGCTTGTATATTCAGTATTTTGAACTATGCCATACATTGTTGCTAATTTTTAATCTCAATAAATATGCATGTTTCGTGTATGTTTTTTTGTGGATTACAGGGGTTTACACTTCAGTGCGGACTACAATACTTTGTACCGTGAGAGATTCCCTGTGACTTGGTTTGCAGTACCATACTGGCCAATTTATATTCACCCGGCATGAGGCCTACTGGGAACCAGCCTGCCGTAATCACCTCATCAGCAGACAAGACATTTCCAGCTGTGGCATTGGAGTCTCTTTTTCCTCTTCTGGACTGGGGGCCCATCCAAAGTTACTTCCAAGCAGCTGTCCATACACCCACAGGGTCACTTGTGACAAGGTGAACATGGGGGCATACGGTGGACTTGCAGTATTGGCCTCCTACAAGGCCTGGAGCAGAAGGATCAGGGACTGCCCACATTACTCATTCATCAACAGCTGACTACCCAATTTACCCTGTAAAGCATGATAAAGTGTAGACATCGGTCATGGTGCGGAGCTAGACTTTCTGTGATTGCCTTCCTGTGGTATAGGGTGAAATGTCCTGATGAGCCATCTGTGTGATTAAAAAAAACTATCTCAGCCCATTTTCTTTGATGTTGCATTTGTTTTGCTATATCCTTATAACTTCCCTCTTAGTTTTGCTCCATCGTGGCTTTTTCCTAATAACCATCATATAAATACCAAGCATGTCCCTTTCACCACACCTTACTATTATGAATCCCTATACTGTCAGAATGCATAGCTTTATATATCTACCACTTAAGTTCCCTTGTTTACTGATGTAAGGTGCCAGAGCATGTTTCATAAAATGTGCAGTTCTAACACTTGCAATGCTATTATCTTTGTTAAAACACTTATGCGTGCTGTTCTGGCATTGTATGCATGTTGCCAATTTTTTGAACAGCAAGAAAAAAAATGGACAAAAGAGGGAACAATCATAAAATGTATGGACATTAAAAGATCAAATTGGTAAAATAACATTTATGTTGAACTATGAACTGCACATGCCAGTCGCTAGCTTTGATGGTGTCCATGAGCTGGGTGTGTGTCAGGGTGTCTGTAATAGGTTGGTGGGCTAGGATACCGCCTGGGGACCTCGTCTAGATGGAGGGGGACCATCCTCACGGTCCTCCCTCTCTCCTCAGTGGGTCTAACGCAGGCCGCTGTAGCTCCATCCCTTGTGCATGATTCTGGAGCACTTTAACGCAACAGAATAATAATTTAAAGAACATGCAAAAAGGAGAGGCCACAATCAAGAGGAAACATATTTTAAACAACTATGGAATACACTTAGACTCTAGGAAAATCTGTTTCCTAACAAGAAGCAAAAATAAAGTGAAAGTTCTGAACATGACACAAGGCTCCATCATCTGTTGCAAGAGATTAAGTGTAAGCTGTGAGTGGGGGGAAATGTGTTTAGGTGAATTTATGGAAATACCAACTGCCAGTAGGAAAGACTTAGGGGAAAAAGCACCAAGGTAAAGTGTCCATGCTGATAGCTCATTGTGTAAGTTGTCCAGGTGCAGAATGAGAAGCCATTCTGGAAGATGATGAAGCAGTTGAATCTGGGAAGTTGAGTGAATTCGAAATTAATGCCACGGTCACGAGCATTATGCACCCTAAATAAAATAAGGAATGGATGTGTGCTGGAAAATATACAAATTTCTTTCAAGTGTTTTCATGGGCTAATAATCAAAAGTATTGTAGACTGTATGTCTAACATTGAATGGTGGAATGTTTACAAGGGCACTATTAACAAAACAACTTTTGCTTAACAAATAATTTTTTTGTGGATAGATCATACCCTATAGCCTCACTACTCAATTTTCTACCATTTGGGAGTTAAATCATTTTTGTTTCTATTTGTGCTGCCCTAGTCACCTCCCCTGGCTGTGACTTACAAAATAAATGGCTCTATTTTCATTAAAATGTTAACTTATTTTTGAAATTGTAATCTCCTGCTCTGTAAATCGAACTTTAATCACACACAGGCAGTTTCTAGAAGGCTATTAACCAAGCAGGAAATAATAAATCCTAAATTAAACAGTGAAAGTTTTAATTTTTCTTTAGCCTAATCTTTAGACAAGCAACTTTTTACATTGCAATGATGTCATATACTCTTGCAGTCTCTTGTACTCCATTCTAAGAAGACCCTATCAGTATACCCTTGTATTCTACAAAGATCCCACCTAGTAATGCCTCCTAGATAAATGTTAGAGTTCTACTTTGCTCTGCTTATTTCATGCTGTATGCACAAGCTGTCCATGACATTAGTTAATAGTATTATATTTGATTGATAATTAGTGAAACTCCCCCTAAGCGGCCCCTTATTGCCTTAAAGTCCTTCTTCTGTTTAATAAAGGCCATTTTTCTAAATTGACTCCTCTTGTATGGTCTCTTAAGAGTCTCTCCAAGTACTTGGGGCTTGACACGGTGTGGATAGAACTATATTCTAATAGGTCTATAGCAGAGGTCTGGGGATCACCAAGGAGTATGTCCCAGCAGTCTTGGGGGCTGTGTCTGGAATAATGGATGAATACCAACCGGTGAGTGCATAACTGTTTTATTTTACAGTGTTTCCCATGGTGAAATTACCCAGAATACTGAATCTTGGTTGGAACAAAGAGAGTCCCTCAACCATGACAGAAGGTAAATGCACTACAAGTGCACCTGCTTGGGGCTTTTCCAGTGTTTTATAGGAAAGCAGAAGGCTTATTTATTTAATAATAATTTGTTCTGACGCTTTGTACTAGAATGTAATTACTTTACCCCCCACTGTGACATGTTAAAAAAGCTAAACTGGCTGTCGCTGGAATCCAGACGCACTCTTCATCTTTCCAGCCTGTTGTATATTGTTAACAGCTTTTTTTTAAAGTATAAGGCTGTTTTTAACCTGCTTCTTTCCATTTTCATTTTGATTGCACACACTGCCTGATAATATTTGCTCACAGGATGAGGCAAAAGTGGAAAACCCCAAAAGTTTACAAATCTGCTGTAGTCCAATAAAAATTAGTGAAAATCAATGTGTGATGGGGGCGGAGCCTAGCACCGGACCGGAGCGGACGCACATTGCCGGAGCTCCGAGCTACCGCACGGCAATCCAGCCACATCGGAGGCATCCCGCACTAATCCCGGCCACATAATCAGCCACAGCCCGCAGGGAACCTCGCTGCAACCGCCGATGCCGTTTCTCCTGACGCCCGGCTCGAAAAATAGACGCCGAGGCGGCAAGGCCTACCGGGCAGGGAGGCAACCTCAACCCAGCACGGGAGAACACTGGCCCTGGAGTGTCCCAGAATTTGAGGACTGGTACCCCAGCACACACAGCTCAGGTGAGATGGGGCGCAGAACGCAGAAACTGCCCCAAAACGCCCCAAAACCGCAGCGCGACATAGGCCAAATGTTACAGGCCCAAAGCGCAGTAAAGGCACAGACCCCCCGTGAAACCTCCCCAGCACCATCAGAGGAGGAAGAATCACTAGACAGCCCACACCTCAATCCCCAACACCCCACACACACGTGGATGCCAGAAGCCAGCGCACCGGCCTCCAAACAAGACATACAGGCTATGCTGACAGGCCTGCAACAGAACTTAAGACAAATGTGGGAAGCGGACCTGGCAGTGCTTAAATTAGACGTGCACGCCGTGTCCACGCGCACTCAAGCGGTAGAAGAGGAGGTAAAGGGACTAAGAGGGAACTACCAGGAATTGGGAGAGACGGTGCGACACCTTCAAGCTGCACAAGCAACAATGTCCAGGCAAGTTACTCTCCTAGATGATAGGGGGCGTCGAAAGAACATAAAAATCCGAAGGGTACCTGAATCAATACCGCTGGAAGAGTTGCCACATTTCATCAGACGCCTTGTGGCCACACTCCTGCCAACTAGACAATCTAAAACGTTCCAGTTCGACGGGGTTTACAGGATAGCCAAATCCCCACAAGCACCCAACTCAGCCCCAATGGACATAATATTGAGATGCCAATCAATGTTGGACAAACTGGGGCTAATGGCGGCTATGCAAGGGAAAACACCTCTTGACTTTGAAGACAGCAAACTCTCCTTCTTTCAGGACTTGAGCAGGGCCACACTGATGTGGCGCAAAAGTATGCAACCAATCACCAAACAACTCCAAGCCGCAGGAGAAGCCTATAGATGGGCAACACCAGGAACTCTCTGGGTCACTAAAGATGACAAGCACTACAGAGCTACCGACCACGCAGAGGGCCCGGCACTGATGACCGCATTGGGAATATCGAACCTCGCAGCGACCTCTATGACACAGCCGGCTCAACGACCAGGGACAACGAGCACAGATTCATCCGCAACTCCTGGAATAAGCAGAGGACCGAAAACCAAAACCTGAACGAACTGCCTCACCGACGGCCTCCTAGGCCTTAGTTTCACTAGTTTAAATATTTTAAGTTGATAAATCGGTTCATTTAAGTTAAATGTAGTTCTCTCACATTCTGACGGCTATAACAGTAACAGTGCTAAAGTGGCCCACCAGAGCCGCGCACACTAGCTCCGATAACAATCCCCCCCCCTCCCTTGGGTTAATGGGAAACGACATCAAAGGCGACATAGTAACCCTGACTGGAATCAGGCTCATCGCGAGGTCTGATGCCCCAAGGGCACAACTTGATCCGGTCACACTACAGCGACCTATGTATATACATAGACACGATTTGTAGTTACCACTAGGGCCACAAAGACACCCTGAGCACCACACACATGGGCACCCACCAATAGCTACAACCAGGGAAAAGCAAAAGAGGAGCGGACATAGTCCTAGACAGGCACCATTAGAGGGACCCCGTAACTACCGCAATCCGCATCCTTACCCAAACTCAAAAGGGTCAAGAGACTCACCCAACACCCATAAACTATAGTCGCACTACCTAGAATTGGGACCAGCCACTGGACCTAGCAGTAAATGCCTTTCCCCCCCCCA